CGCCAACCTCACGGGCGAAGTTCTTGACAAAGAACTTGTGGGGGATACTGGTCATCACACCAGCACCGTCACCGTCTCGCGCATCCGAGCCAACGGCTCCACGGTGGGTCATGTTGCACAGTAGATTGCGAGCTAAGCGGGCATCGACGTCAGCGCAAAAGTTCCTTGGTAAAAATAAGCCAAAAAAAAAAGCAATTTCGTAGAAATCGCAAAACAGGTCCTCCGCTGGGTTCAAAAACTTACCATCGCTCACAATCTTGTGACTAGGCTTGCCCTTAATGTGGCTAGAGATCCCCCCATAGATGTTAGTCTAAAAAGATCAATGGCTCGTCCGGGATATTGGAAGGACACTCACGCAGCGAAACCGACACCACAGGCATCTTTCTCGTATTCGGGGTCATAGAGACCCTGCTTCTCGGGCAGAGCATTGGCCCAGCCGAAGCCGGCCTTCGGCTGGTACTCCGAATACTCCTGGGGAGCCTGCTCTTCGCTTAGATCTTTGCCATAGATATCCTCCAAAGTAAGACCCATTCTTCCGCCGGGAGCCGACAGAGAATGGAAAGACACAGGGTTGAGAGGGAGTTTTGGGAGATTTTGTTAGAATTCCTCGAGAGGAGGGGGGAATCTCCGGAGTTTTGAGGCGGGTCGGATCGATAGGCGTTGGTCGATGTCGTCACGGGAGGGGTGGGCAGCGCGGGTGGAGGGGAGAGAGAGAATATAGTTGCGAATGGTGAACCCAGCGTCTGCACAGGGATTCAGGTTGAAAGATGAAGGAGGGGCAAAGAAAGAAGAGAGAGAAAGATTGGAAAGGAGGGGTGGAATAAAAAAAAAGATGGGCAGTGATTACGGCAGCGCAGAGCAGCAGGCAGGTCCGGGGATTGCAGGCTGCTGCTCCGATGGACCCCAAGAGAGGAAACGGGAAAATTACGGGCTGTGGGGTTGGCGTGGCAAATGCATATTCGATTGGAGTTTATTGCTTGCTTTCTATTTGTTCAAGCCGATTGTACAGAAGCCATTGAGAGAAACGATTCGATACCAGCATGAAGTCTGGACTCTCGTACTATGAATAGGAACACAATTACTATGATAGTTGACAGTAACTTATAGAGAATTGTCAATTGCTTTGTTTCTTACGGTCAATACGACGATTCCCCGGACTCAAACCCGTCTCTGATGGACGAAAGCGTCCGTACAAGGGAGGGGGGAGGGAAAGGAAGAGCGGAACATTCCATATGGAGGGAGCTCAGCAATTAATGGGTCGAGTAATGATAATCATTATGATTACGGCAGGCAAATCCTCAAAGATAAGACGATGAGGACCAATCAGCGTCAAGGCTTTACAACCGCGGAGCCAGAACGATTAGCTTTCTCCTACGTCAAGATCCTCGGGTGGAGCTGATGGAAATATACAACCACTCCGTTCTGGGGTGTATGGTATCGTATTGATACCTTACCTTTTACTTGTCCAATTCAGGTGTCGACTCTCTGCACGCCTATGATGAAGCATAGTTCTCGGAATGCATAGCTAATTATCATAACTTACTTGATACGGCTGACTACTGTTCAAGTCCCTTTTTTTTTTCCATAGCATCCTATCGACTCCAACCTCTACTTCCAGAGCCTCCGATGATTCCCCCCTTGACCAGTTCGGCTGGTGGGTCCACGGAAATTCCGACGCCCCCATTGGCCTACCGACGCAAACAGGCAGGACACGATAATCACAGCCAAACCGTCTATCCTCGTGGAGTTTTCGTCCCGAAATTGGTCCCTCCATAGTGCCCCCCTCGTTTGATAAATATCGTGTATTTCAACACTCGGTAATTCAATTTTGTGCTTTATTAGGCAGCTCGAAGCTGACTCCCTTTCATACCATCTATACATACTACCATACATAGTAACGTACATTTCACCCTCATTGCGGACCCGAGGTGCCGGGCGATTGGTGGGGCCATGGGCAAGGATGCAGTGCTTAATCCAATCCATCGCCCCTAATTTCCGAGCCGTTGGTTTGCTCTCGGATAATCTGCAGTCCTGCGTACAGACGTATACAGGTTTTTGTTTGCGGAGAGTGTACCGCATACATGGGAGGCTTGGAGTGCATATGCATTCCCACCAGGACAGGTAGTTGCATGTATATACCTTGGTAAATAATAAATGAAAATCTTATGGACTTGGCAGGCACGGGTTGAAGAAGTGCCAAGAAGAGACGAAAACTGTACAGTACAGCAAACCGGGCGACGTATCCTCAATTTTTGAGCCTAGGTAACTCGAAGCCTCGACTATTTACTACTTCAAATTGCAACCATGGACCAGTCCTCGGTTCCCCTCCCAAGCTCAGCATGTTTATTTCCGTATCCCAGTACGGCGCACTTCTTTACCTTAAAACACTGTCTCCACTTTTTCAACGTGCACCGACTTGATCAAAGCCACATCTCCAATACAGTCTCAACCCGTACATGGTATTTGTTCTATCACTCTCCTCTCCTCCCCGCCCCCCTCTCCATTCTCCGCGCATCAAAAGCACAGCTTCAGACAGAAGTACCTCCAACCATTCCGACAACGGCCAAGCAGCCCGCCTGGGATCTTCCTCTTTTCGATTCCTCTCTCCAAACATCAACCCCTCCAATAATACAGTAGTCCATCTTCCCCCCCCCTGTGAAAACCCAGTCATCAGCCCTCTATTGACACTCCCGAGTTCACCCCCAAATGATTCCCTCCCAATCCCGACTCGCAACTCCCCCCGATTTCGGGGTTGCCCAGCCGTCCCCCGGCATGCCAGCCCTGCAACCGGATTGGCCCTGACCAGTTTCCAGTTTCCCCCCAGCTCATACTTTAAGGTCATTGAAACTGCTTATCGCGGCTTGGGTTTAAATTACCTATACTCTGACTCGTCCGTTCTTCTTTTCTTTTGCTTATGCCTTGCACCCCGGGTTGAAGGGTTGAACTCTTGGGAGGAGGGGGGGTTTATCCATTTTGCCCCGGATCATCGACCCTCCCTCCACCATCCATGGCCCATAGCCCCTCCTTGCTACTTGTTTTTTTTTCCTTATTCCCCAGACTCAACATGTTCCACGTCCGGTGGGACAAAAAATGGTTCGAAGACCGAGAGGAGACGGTTTACTATCATCTCTTAGCACAGTGGCTATGCACGTGTCTTGATTGGTCCGAGAAAAGTTTGGCTCAGGCTTGCATACATCTTTCTGAATATACTTCCTGTAAATGAAGTGCAAGAAAACGACAAATTAGTATGAGTATAGATACATAGATACATGAACCTAACTCGCTTTAGTACAGTAGTGCCACCACAGTGTAGTGTGCCTACAATCCGTATTCGCCCCCTCATCCTCGGACTTAAGCATAAGCATTCAGCCGGAGGAATGCCCTCCGGCTCTGACACGTGAAGCGGGATGGCCCTGATAAGCTCGTGGATGGACGTGCACAAACCTTTAGGAAATCGGAATACATAAACACATTTCTCAGTCCATTTAGATCGTTGTCCAGCGCCGAGTAATTCCTTTAGTGCCACGGGGCAGCCCTCTTTGTTTTGGACCTTTCCTTCCCTCCGCGCTAGTTCGTCGGAAAACTGTCTACTTCTCCTATCCAAGCGGGCATCCATCTCATCCACCCGCTTTTGCCCTATGGACGTTTATCGGCCGGGACGAATTGGAGTGCGGAGTCTTGGTTTTTGCTAACGATGGACTTTTTATCCTCTTTTTGCCTAGCCATTGACTCATATCCGACTCGGGTCTCTTCAATCTTGCCTCTGGGTCGACAGACAGACAAAAGATCAGTCCATACACAGCATCCACGAACAGATTAAATCAAACGACGCATCTCCGATCCACCGTCGCCACCAACTCGGTTCTACCGAAGCGAGTATTGATCGTGTGCCCATCAATCTTGGCCCTGCATGCCCCTGATCTGTCTGCACTGCACAAGTACCACCAACTATGTACGGAGTACATACTAACACTAGGAGAGTCCATCCATATTTACAGATCTACTTGACTCCGCCGCGCCCGAGATCCACCCGAATGGGGTATCACATGATCCCCGCTTCTCTGGGCCCAATCAAACGGGAGGTGAACATAAGACGATGGGTGCGTGTGCGTCGGGGGGTGGACACTCTGGCTTCACACACTTCGTCAGGTCTGCAATGCAGTCCTACCCGGATTTACCCGATGGGTTCAGTCCGCTTTGGGTTCACCGACGTGCGGGCGAGTCGACGGGGCGGAGCGCTGCCTGCATCGGGTGTTTTCGGGTCGGGGCTCTAGGCGCTGGTCTGGGAAGACGACAGTACAGGACAGTAACAGGACCTGGGCAAATCGAACGGAAGTACCTCGGAGATCTTGGGAGACGGTAAGTGAGGGACGAGCCTGCGGCCGAATATCGGGCGGTGCTGTTGTCGTATGTCTTTTTCTTACACCCTGGTATCCGTTCGTATTTCACTGTATATGCGCCCAGCCATCGAGCGCGAACTTCGGTCCTGGGCATAACGAGTACAGCGGCTGAAACAGAGAGGGCCTGGCCAAAGAATTTAGTAGGTACTACTTACGGACATCTAGCATTTGTAGACGCATGATGTGTCCCATTCTCAATGTCGCAGACTGTTCTTTGAAGGGTTTAGAGTTGATATATACCTTTCGAGTTACTGCATCGCAGTTTCACGTCACAGCACACTGATACATATGTAGAGGTTATCAAATATAGTGGACTAGAGATATTCTCACGCTACTTGGTAGGTTCAGGAATTTAATTGTGCCTCCTTGGTGCTCACTGCGTTTCAGAGATTGACTTGCACAGTCGCTGAGATTGTGCAGTCAAGTGATCATTGTAATGCAAGGAAATCTGCTACATCTTCATCTACGCTTAGAACAGCTCAACTTTGCAAATATCATAGATTGATTTAGTCTATACAGTACCACAACCTTCTCACATCTTCTTCCTAAGTCTCTTCCTTTTTCACTTCAATCGCCTCTGACAGGCTATCAGTTCAAGGAGGGCTGTACGTCGTTGAGGTTTCAAGGCTTCCAATTTCTCGTGAACAACGGCTTTTGACGAGATTTCTTGGTCGAATGCGTGAAAAGCCTCATGACTGTCCTGACCGAAGTTCTGGATCTTTACATTTGAGGCATAGTGTGGATGTAGTGTGAAATGTGAATTTCCCGTATTATATATATCGCATCAAGCTGAACAGTCTCAGAGCGGGGCACCCTTAGTGGGCGATTGATTGTTGATATGTTCCGGAAAGAGCCGTCTGCAAGGCGTTTCCCAAATTCAGAGACAACGACACATCCACTGGTTTTGTCACTGCTTATGACACCATCACCGAGTCGAATATCGTTGTCTTCATTTGGGGTCCCGTCACTGATTCCTACAAGCAGGCCGATTCAAATCTAAGGAAGTGTGGAGGCCATATCTTTTGCGACAATTGCGGCGTATACAACGCCAATCTGATTTTAACGCAAATAGGCGTCGAACAGTCTGAATTTCCTCGTTCTTCCACAAAGATACGCAGTTTGATCTGCTTCTGCTGCGGGAGTTTGTGAGGCTGCATGTTCCTCGTCTAGCTTCCCTTTTTGACTTGAGGTATCAAGCAAAGTTATCAGGGCATTTCGATACAGCGACAGAATCTTAGTTCAACTTGCGCATGAATCTATCATAACAACATGACACTAATCACAGAATTAAGTGGGTTGTCTGTTTGATGCTTGGGTTTTAAAAAAGCTCAGACTGAACGATATGCTATTGATCATTTCAGAGGGGAGAAATCGACAGGCTTCCAGAGTATCGGAATATTGTACAGTTCCCATACCAAACGAGAGGGATATTATATACACAGAAGAAACACACATGGTGGGTCCCCCTTAGTCTCATAGTAGAAAAAACAAGCTGAGGCTGATTATGAGGAAGCACTTTGTTTCAATTCCTCCTCGGCCTTCATCTCCTTCTCGAGGGCCGCGAAATCACCCTTGAAGGAATCCTGCGCGGGCTCCAACCGGACATCCCAGACATCCTCGCTACTGGGCCCAGTCTTGTATTTGATAGCCTTCTTCTGATTATGCGCGCGAATGGCTTTCCTTCGCAAGTCATCCGACCACCCGCGGGTCTTCATGCATAGCCAAAAATTATCCCAATGTTCGCTGCAGGACCGTAATTCTCCGTAGCGATAGACATTAACGAATTGACCGCCAAAAGACTGACAGAAGAAAGCGTAATCGAAAGTTGTTCGGCAGGACATGCTGTCTGCGTAGAGGGATTCTGGGGCGATGGAGGAGGCGGGCTGTGCTAGGGGTGCGCCGGTGTCGGGATTTGCTGGCGCAGTTGTCGAGCCATTGAAGGCTTCCGGACCTTGTCTTTGGTTACCGGAGAGCTCGGCATCTGCTTGTTGAAGCTCTGCGAGAATTTGCTTGAATTCAAGGTCGGCTTGTTCGTCCGGAGACATTTGTTTGGGCGGTGATGCGATCTGAGGCCTTGATTCGGGGACACTTGTTGTCGCAGAGGGCACCTCATTTGGTGTGTCCTTCTGGGAACTTGAATTCCACAGCCAGCCCATCTTGAAGTTTGGTTATTGTGAGAAATAGCTTGATCGCAAAGACGGCGACGGAACTAAGGCGCGGTTTTCGAGTGATAATTAGAAATGTCACGTGCCTTACCGATAACGATCGACAAGCATTATCGATAAGAGCGTCGTTCGACGTCATTCACCCGCGATCCAACGAAACCCTGATCTTCAACTCCTGTGCCTGGCCAGATGTGCCATTATTGAGATGAGGCCTGCAATTATTGCGAGAGCCTATCCGGCTGCAAGGGCTTTACAATGGAGCCCTGCCGGCCGGTTCTACCATCCTTCTAGCTCGTTATCGAGAGCTGCTCTACTTGGACGAATCTCACCAGCCTGCATACGTTCATTGTCATCCATACGGTCAGGGCATATTAAGCTAGATCAAAATGAAGGCATTCTCTACGTGAACAGTAAGCCTTAATACTTCATGGACAAATGATACGCTCCTTTTCCTGATCAGTTTCCAGATATCTTCCCGCAACGCTTACAATGGTTGCTGCGGGGTCCCCTAAGCAACATCCAGCCTCTCGAGGGTATCTTGAGAAGAATCAACAATCCTGGCATTGCCGCATCAGATCCAATAACCATCGCACAACGTGCTTTGCCAACTGGTCTCGGTCTGGAAATCAAAGAAGTGATACCGCGATACAAAGAAGGAGGCGCATTCATCAAATACGCCCGGAAGCCTGATATGAACGATGAAGACATCCGAGCAGCGGTGCAAGATCATCTGAGCAAGAATCCGATAAAGCCATGGTACAATCCATTTCAGACCGCGGAAGTTGACCTGGTACAAGGAAGACCTTGGATCGAAGACTTGGCAAGAATCCCCAGCCAATCCGTGAAAGTCGAATTCTTGCCAGACTCTACAGAGGGCCGGGCTGTTGAATTGACACAGGAAGCTCTATACACCCTGTTCCGGCCCTTTGGAAAGCTACTGGATATCCAATCACAACCGAGTGATTCCAAGGTTGAGCCGAGATATGCCACACTGCGATTCAGCCGACCCCGATTCGCGGTGATGGCAAGAAATTGCATGCACGGATATGTGGTCGGAGAAGCAGAAGGAGGAGGCAAGGCTGGTACCCGCTTCAAGATCAACTACGAGCGCAAGATCAAGCTGTCTATGATCAAAGATTGGATTGTCAACCACCCTCGTATCGTGATCCCTGCTATAGCAGCCTTGGTGGCGGCCATCACAGTCATCATTTTCGATCCTGTCCGCACGTTCTTCATCAAGATCAAGGTCAAATCTTCGCTTCATACTGACGACAATCCAGTCATTCAGTGGGTTCGCAGACAAGTCAGCAAAGCCAATAGGATGTACTTTGGCAGCCGCCGAACGGACCCACGGGGTCTGGCCGCTATCTGGGAAGATCGTCAAAATGATATCTCCCAGCTGCGAGCGTGGCTTACCGAGACTGTGGAAACTTTCATCGTCATACATGGACCACGTGGCTCTGGAAAGCGAGAATTGGTTTTGGAACAAGCACTGAAAGAGCACAAATACAAGGTCGTCATTGATTGCAAGCAGCTACAGGATGCTCGGGGTGACACTGCCAAGATCTCTCGAGCTGCAGCCCAAGTTGGCTACCGACCCATCTTCTCCTGGATGAACAGCATCAGCAGTTTCATAGACCTGGCTGCACAAGGAATGATTGGTACCAAGGCCGGGTTCAGCGAGACCTTGGATGCACAGCTCAGCAAGATCTGGCAGAACACGGCTGTCGCTATGAAGCGGGTAGCGCTTGAGGGTCGAACCAAGCAAGACAAGGATGCAAACTTGAGCGACGATGAATACCTCGAGGCACATCCCGAGAAAAGACCCGTCGTGGTCATTGACAATTTTGTGTATGACTCGGAGGGTGATATTGTTCTTGACAAGCTCACCGAGTGGGCGGCCGGCTTGACGACAGCGAACATTGCCCATGTCATCTTCCTCACCACAGACTCATCGTTCTCGAAGCCGCTGAGCAAGGCCCTTCCGAATCAAGTCTTCCGCACCATTGGTCTGGGTGACTGTTCCCTTGAGGTGGGTCGTCGCTTTGTGATGAGCCACCTCGATACGGAAGCAGATGGCGGTGCCGATGGTCACAAAGAAAAGCCGTCACGGAATCTGGCTGGGTTGGACGACTGTATCAAGGTACTGGGTGGTCGTATTACCGACCTTGAATTCATGGCACATCGAATCGAGGCTGGAGAAACTCCTCAAGGTATGACAATTATTCCCAGGCCCACTCACAAACGGTTACTAACTTGTTGAACAGCTGCGGTGGATCGTATCGTCGATCAGTCGGCTTCCGAAATTATGAAAATCTTCATTCTGGGGACAGATACCGTCACACCTCAATGGACTCGTGAACAAGCCTGGCACTTGATTAAATCGCTTGCCCACGCTAAGGACGGTGCCCTTCTCTACAACAAGGTCCTACTCTCGGACCTGTTCAAAGACAACGGCGAGGCTACTCTCCGAGCCTTGGAGCAAGCCGAACTCATCTCCGTTGGTTCTGTCAAGGGCTTCCCGCGGTGGATCAAACCCGGCAAGCCCGTCTACCAAGCTGCCTTCCAGCGACTCATTGAGAACAAGACACTCGAGGGCCGCCTTGATCTTATGATTCTCGGACAATTAATTGGCCAGGAGAACAAGAGCATCAGCAAATACGAGGACGAGCTTCAAGTGCTGGGATCACTGCCGAAGCATCCTCGGGAGTTGACGTCTCGTATTGAATGGCTTCTACGCAAGATCCAGGGTTCGCAGTCTAAAATTCTCAAGTACGAGCATGATAGTGCAGCTCTGACCAAGATGTTGCAAAGCGAGAAATAGGCAGTTGCTTCGCTCGGTTTGGTGCTCACGAGACTGTGCAAGTTACTTGTATGTTCAAGGTCGATCTGTTATGTACATTGATGCATCTCCTATCAAATTTTCTTTCGAAATAGGGGTTCTTTTACGCTCTACCACTCTCTCGGCATTCTCGCTTGGCTTAGTTTACCTACGTATTGATTAGCAAGCAAGTAGCCTTTGTACCATAACTGAATTTTAAATGTTTCCAGTGCGACTCTCAAGGCATCCAAATTATACAACATCGGATGCTCCTTTATTACCAAACTATTGTCTCATAACTGTACGTGGCTAGAGTGTATGAGAGGACATTTTTCTGGAATGCGTTTCTATCGCCTGTCGAGAACGTTTAAGAGTCGTGGGGTATCAAAAGTGAAAAATAGCATCTGTCCTAATGAGCGACCAACCCCCATTGTCGATGGGAACACAACCACGTGTCACCTCCAGTGGTATCTGGAGAAGATTCGCTGAGTTCCAAGTGATCCATGTACGACGAGAATGTACATCACTATGCCCTTCAAATTGTGGCTCATCGGGCGCAATGCCCGGAACTAAAGTATAGTATCGCCCCTTATCTTTTCACCATATTGATCGGCCATGTCGGATAGTTTCACAAAGTTGATGTGCTAATATGAAGAGTCTGCGCGTTTTCGATGCTACTGGAATTTCACGGCTTTTTGAGATCGTCTGGAACTGAAGCGAGTATCTTATAATCGCTAAAGAAGGTGACCAAGTGGACAAAAGTCGCTGGAAAATGGTGTCAGCATCTCCACTCGTATTTAGAGTTTGCAAAGAGCCGCCAGGACAGGAACTACTTGGTATTCGCTCGTATAGTTATAAACACGACAATCCCGTCTCCCGACCGTGACGCTCTTCCAGATCTATCATCTCCACAGCGTCCTCCACGGCCACCGAAAGAGGCCAAAACTTTTGAAATGGGGACCTCGCAGTTGACACTCCCAACCAGCCCTGAGTTTAGCTCAAGGGAGCGTATTGCAGTGCGTCATCTTTCTCTTTCACTCTCCAATATTCAAGCGAAGATAGAGCCTTCTAATTTAATTTAGAACCATATTGAGCTGATGCGAAGGTTCAAATGCATTTTGGACGATGCCGAGCAACCTAGCAGGCCCACGCAGGCATGCCCGCCCCCTCCGCCTCGTATTTTAGGTCAAAAAGACGAGGCCAAATGGAATGTGCAATGCCTGCTTATGAGCGCTGAGATCCGGTATTCGATGTACCTTCGAATTTTAGCAAGATGGATTACGTCTCGTGATTTTCAATCATCTAGGGATGAGTGGCCACTCCCACCATGGTGTGACAATCCTTTTCTTCGTGGTTGCCTCGCTTCGAGGAGACATGGGAGTCATGCACTAACATGTTTTGGCAGGGACGTTGCTATTATATTATATGCTCATCTTCTGTCACCGTTCAATTTCCAGAGAGACATTGAATCGCATTTCCCAAGTCTTTGGAGAGCAGAGATCGAATTTCCTCTCGCAGGGATGCTCTCTACCAATACAGATGAAGCCAGTAAACGTATGTGGCAAAAAGGATATCCCGATACTCCTTATCAGATTGTCGACTTCACTCCTGCTGGGGAACTCATGTACGTCACTGAGAATGGCATGGATATCCACGGCTATAAATGTCGCTCGACGGACTGCGCGGGGAAAGGAGCATATGTCATCCCCATGACCGAATGGCCTCAATTCCGGGTTGGCCGCGCCGAATTTGTCTGTCCGGGCTGTAAGACGAGGACCAGACCCACCAAGGCCACCCCTGTGCTTGAACTCTGCCGTCGTGCCTTCGGATTCTCCATCTTCGACTTGTGGGACAGCCCTCAACGACAGTTCGGTAAACAAGGATTTGTGGATCGGATTTTAGCCTTGACCCAGACTCAAAGCCAGTTGCCAGACCATGTCTTCCGCTATCTTAAATTCTTACAGCTCATGAAAGAAAACAAATCTGCCACTCTTGTCCCAACGCTCGACATCGATCTTCTTTGGCATACACACCAGCTCTCGCCGGTCGCATACGAAAAGTACTGCAACACCCACGTAGGCCGACGAATTAACCACGTCGATACCATCCACGCAACGAGGCGCTCTCCAAGGGAGGACGATACGGCAAGCCTTTGGGCGATGCGATATGGCGAGTCGTACTTTGACCCGCAAAACACGGTCAAGACTGCCGAGATCGAAAAACGCAAAGCCGCGTATCAAAAGGACTTGGAGGGCATAGGAACTAAGCTGGCCGCGTACGACGACGATCGCAAACATCTAAAGACGGCACTAGATGAGGTAAATGATCGTCTAGAAACTAAGCTCACTGCTTATCGCGAAGCGCAAGACGCGGCCACGGCGCTGAGCACGAAGTTGGCGGGTATACAGACGTCTATAGAGTCTATCAAGCCAACACTGCGGCTGCTGACGCTACGTTACTACCGTCAGCCCCGAAGGCAGCATCTTAAGGAGCTGCAGAAAGAGCTCACGTTGTTAACTGAGCAGCGCTTATATAGGGCGCGCGAGGTGGACAGTCGCTACCAGGAGTATAGCTTTGTGTACCGAAAGCAAGGTCAGAAATTACGCTTATGGGAGGAGGCACAGAGGGACAGGCGGCGCCTAGAGCAGCGGCTTACGCTTGAGGTGGCAAAGTCGAAAGCGGAGATCTGGCATTTCAATGTCAGCAGAGGAGAGCAACAGCATCAGGAGGACCGGTACAATGGGTCGTGGTACTCTATTGTGCCGTCAGAGGCGCAACTCGATGTGCATCCCATCCTGGGTAACGGGGAAGACAGTAATCTCAACTCCCACACGCACAGATACATGGGGTATTCTGGGGGCGGCGGATGTGGTGAAGGAAGTGGTACTGCTGGAGGGTGCGCTGGAGGATGTGGAGGAGGAAGTGGTACTGGAGGAGGATGCGGAGGAGGATGCGGAGGAGGATGCGGAGGAGGATGCGGAGGAGGATGCGGAGGAGGATGCGGAGGAGGATGCGGAGGAGGATGCGGAGGAGGATGCGGAGGAGGATGCGGAGGAGGATGCGGAGGAGGATGCGGAGGAGGATGCGGAGGAGGATGCGGAGGAGGATGCGGAGGAGGATGCGGAGGAGGATGCGGAGGAGGATGCGGAGGAGGATGCGGAGGAGGATGCGGAGGAGGATGCGGAGGAGGATGCGGAGGAGGATGCGGAGGAGGATGCGGAGGAGGATGCGGAGGAGGATGCGGAGGAGGATGCGGAGGAGGATGCGGAGGAGGATGCGGAGGAGGATGCGGAGGAGGATGCGGAGGAGGATGCGGAGGAGGATGCGGAGGAGGATGCGGAGGAGGATGCGGAGGAGGATGCGGAGGAGGATGCGGAGGAGGATGCGGAGGAGGATGCGGAGGAGGATGCGGAGGAGGATGCGGAGGAGGATGCGGAGGAGGATGCGGAGGAGGATGCGGAGGAGGATGCGGAGGAGGATGCGGAGGAGGATGCGGAGGAGGATGCGGAGGAGGATGCGGAGGAGGATGCGGAGGAGGATGCGGAGGAGGATGCGGAGGAGGATGCGGAGGAGGATGCGGAGGAGGATGCGGAGGAGGATGCGGAGGAGGATGCGGAGGAGGATGCGGAGGAGGATGCGGAGGAGGATGCGGAGGAGGATGCGGAGGGGGATGCGGAGGGGGATGTGGTGGTGGTTAAGGATTGCGTGAGAATCTTGTTCAATTAATAGTGGCATCTCATATCTTGAATCTTATATGATTTGTTTGGTTGTTGCACTTTCGGAAAGTGGAAAGCCTACAACACCTTTATCATGAAACTGTACAGACACCATGGCTTTCATTAATGAATTTTATTAGGTCGAGGTAGTATAGATCATTCGAACCGGAAGATTAGGTATCTTTGATACTAGTTACACCACAACACTAGGCAATGATAGACACTGCGCTAAGGATATCTCTTCTTAACGCTGTTGAGGCTTGGTCCATTTTCCAGTAGTAATGAGCAAAAAGACTACAGTGAAGACATTGAAGATTTTACGCTCTGGAAACTGTCGGACGTAATCATGACGGTGAATCAATTTCCTGCCAATTTTATACACCATGATGAAAAGCACACTTTTTACCTCGGATTTTCAGGTGACGCATGCCTGCCTACCTATGGCTATACTGGTGTTGGTGAGCTCTGAGAAAGTTAAGCTGGATTACGTCCAAGCTTATGAAGCGTTCCAACATTATAGCAGCACCCATTTCAAGGCAGAATGCTAATCCGAAATAGCCGATCAACTTTGGAACAGAGCAAACGAAGGAACAGATCATAAAAAGACAAAATCAATGGGTCGAGAATCATCTGCTGCAATACTTAGCCTCGTCGTGCGCACAAAGCAGCGTAATGTAGCTCCGTCTCACACTATATGATAGCAAGTGGAACCCGTCGAAGAACATCCCCTAGCACTGGACTTGTCCATTAGCAAGGGACCAGACGGGCCCAGAAACAGCATCGAAATCGGGGACGGTATTGAGATTCATATCTTTGAAGGCTTGAGGAACGAGGCCTCCCATGTGTGGGTTGTTGCCGTTGGCAGTAATCTCCGCGGCATTGATATTCTTGTTGTTAGAGCTTTTCAAGTCAAACTGCAGCGTCACACCCGTGGGAAGGTTGAAATTGGAGTAGAGTGTGCATGTACGGTGGCCACGCTTCACAGATTCAGGGGTGGAGAATTTGTAGACGTAGTTCGCACAGGTGTCTGGCCGGTTCAAGCATTCCTGGATACAGTCGCATTCTGTCCGAACGTGCGGGAAGTCTATGTCGACTTCGGTCACGACTCCTGTGACATCAAACCCACGGGTATAGCGGATACAGCCTTTGTCTTGGGTCTTTAGCCCTGGGCAAATGAGACGATGTTCCGAGCCCGAGTCATCGCGATGGTCGCCGCGATGGTCGCGATCAGGGACGGGGTTCGCACCGACACGGAGGGCAAGAAGGAAAGTAAAGAGAGGATAGGGAAGGTGCATCGTGTCCGATAGTGGACAAGTAGTAAGTAGGCTGTCAGGGTAGGATCGGAAGAGGAGATTCGTTAACAAAGTAGTTAACAGAGCGATAGCTTGAAGGCATTAAACCAAGGGCAATAAAAGTACTGCTATTGCCGCTAGGGTTGTTCTTATAGCCCAACACACAACGACCCCCCGACGCAGAATTTACCTCTATGCCTCGAAAGTGAAACAGAATAAGAACTCATTGGCTACAAATAAATTCGCGCCCCAAAGGATGCGTCAGTATATATCTTGTGATAGTCTGGAAACAGAAAATGCATGAAAGCTTCGCTGGTGCTTAATTTAGGCCGTCAACCTTATCCCGAAGTTTTAGTCGCTGGGTGCAGTGTTTTACTCAAGTCATGATATAGCTAAACAGTCTGGGGCCCTCTAGAGCTCTGACCACACCACCTATTCCGACAAATGTGCTCCATGTAATCCTTGGTGGCTTTCTTCGGCTCTTCAATTACTAGCTATCGGCTCGCCCCACAGGAGCATGCATCTGCGCACGTGGTTGGAAGAGGCGATGAACCTTGTGGAAATCAAAACATCACGCTTGCCACTGGAACGTAAATTTATGTGGTTGGAGATCCAGACTCTGGGCGGCCGAAATCTTTCCATGTCCAATGGTTCGCATGTTCCCTCGTTTTCGTTTAGAAGCTTAGTTTCTACTATATACCTAATCTGGAACCTGTGGTATTTTCCGAGAGCCATGAAAGGCTACGACCAACCACAACAAGGCTTTAAACAGATCAAAGACTAGCCGCCAAAATTGTTTATTGTTACTATTTTAGGCCAAAAAATTCTACAAAGAGTTCTCAAGAGGAAGATATTGCACGACAGTTTGCATGATATCCAATGGAGATAATCGCCTGAGGCAGTTTTACCATCACCTAGATTACACTCTCAAGTTCATTTTCACCTTGATATCCTTTGCAGGCTGGAAAGTTCCCCACGTTGTCCAATTCTTGGGGACCACCAGGCCACTTTCATCAGCAGAAGTGATATCCCACATCGACACAATACTCGCCGTAAACGCCAGAATAGCTCGTTCAGTGAGACTATTATTCTTAGATCCGTATAGACCATCTGCGAACGGTGCAAGGCTGGCAGCGCTAGCCTGCTTGGTACCCAATACGGGATCTGTCACAATAAACCGGAGAGGATCATACTGATCTGGGTTCGAGAATCGCTGCGGGTCGTTGTGGTAGACGCCGTGAGGCATGATGACCTTTTCACCCTTGCGGAGCTTATATGTACGCGGTTGGGTCGCATCTTCCGCAGACTCGGTGAGTGTCATGTCTGATTCGAGTTTTCTGAAAGAGATGCCTGCAGAGTGCAGGCGAATGGATTCGTAGTAGCATGCCTTGAGGAGCGGGCATGAATGCAGCACTTTTTCAAGATCCATGTCCAGTCTGGGGGGCTCCTCGAATGGGAAGCCCGTCTCTTGGCGGCTTGGTCGAGATGATTTTACGCAGGTGGAGATCTCCTTTCTGATTTCTTTGAGGAGTTCGCTGTCTGCGAAGACGTGGGTGATCGTCCAGAATGTAATCTTGGAAGTGTATTCGATCACATCCCAGAATAGTGATAGATGCCCTGCTGCGCTAGCGCTGGGAGAGAGTTCCAATTTGCGGAAGGTTCTCATGCGTTCCTTCACCAGATCGGATACGTCTTCCAGCTCGCGGAGCTCGATTCCGGGATCGATCCCGTCGTCCCAGGCACTGAATGCCCGGTAGAAGACTGACATGATATGTAGGAGTCGATCGCGTGCGGGGAATCCCGCTGAGATATTCGGGGTAGTAGGCACCCATCGACGCAGGCCGAGAAATAGTGGGACAAAGTTCTTGTCCAACGTCCACAAATCTGTAAGGAAGAGAGGGAAATTCTCCACAAAAGCCTCGCCCATGAGCAATGTGCTTAAATTATGGCCGACAAAGCCCCTAATGAGCTCGAAGAGCCTTGCCTCGGAGGTTGACTGATTTTCCTCGGACGTGGATACGTGTCCATCGCGTTCCCATTGAAATTGGTCAACGGGGCTTCGGCTGAAGCTCACCAAGTTTGGGACGTTGCGCTGCAGCAGTTTGATGATCGCGGTCGATACATCGCTGATGAATGGCTGTCTGCTCATGATTCCAGATACGTCATCACTGACTTCCTGGTGACGGGCTAGGCGCAAGTTGCGGATGAGGCTGCGATCGCCAAACACGTTTTGGAGGGCCTGATCTAGTAGAGGGCCACTGGATGCATCTGGCGAAGAAAGAATAGTTTTCATCATTGACGGTGAGACCACAGTATCGTGAGTTTCACCTCGCAAGTAGACACCAAATACAGACTCGGCCAAAGAGTCTCTGTATATTTCATTAGCACGTAGTACAATCTTCTTTAGTGTGGATGCTGGGCACAAACCGTAATGAGCCAATGAGACCCACATGATCCCAGAGGAATGAAATGCCATGGCCTACCCATGGGAACCAATAAGGTGCCAATCTTGAAGTTCGAGGCTCTGCGGGATCTTGGACACGCTGGCGACTCTGTAGCCCCGAGATAAGGCGGGTTGCGATGCATGAAAAAACGAGAACGGCAAAAGTAGTGGTCCATGTTAATTCCGATAATCCATCTCTTGCCGCTTGAATCAGTCCATGGCCTGAAATGTCGTAGGCCGCCATATTTGCGATCGGCGTACTGCAAGAGGAAAATGGGAAAACAGTGCTGAATGCGCTCTCCGACGCCACAACACTTGGTGCCCCCTTCGAGCTCGCACAGACGCGGAAGTGGTCGGAAGAAGGAGCAATTCAGAATCAAGTCGTTCCCTTATCCAAAATGGTCAAATTTTTGTCAGTTGGGGATCCTTCGGATGATACATTATGAGATTATCGCGGTGAAGGGGCCTGCTATTTTTAGCCGAAGATGTGAAGCTGTAGCCTTCACCGCCTTCTCCACACAAAGGAGTACTGTCAGTTGCCACAGCCACGTTTCTCGTCACTGATTAATCTTCTGCCAAATATTTGTGTTATATGATTGACTTAAATGCGAATGTTTCTGCTTGTGTGCAAACAATACATGAGGTGAGAAGATAAGTGACGCTATATGTTGGTGACGTTGTCAACAGACCGAATCAATACGCAGTTCCCCAGTCTCTTCAACTACACTGTAGAATATACACTACTAAATACCATTTTTGTAATTACAAAGGTTATCCACATGCAATATGATCTAGTACATGCAATATGATCTAGAAAATTGCAAACATCATTTGTAGATAAAGAAATCGTATCAGCCTTGGCAAATGCTTCTGTCAAAGCAATAAATGACCGTATAGACTAAGACTGTAGCCCATGGAGCATTTTTGGTCTAGCGGTAGTATGCCCGAAATTTGTTGCGACAGCTTCTTAGTTTTAAAGGCACTCCTCTCAACACTCACAACGGTAGAAGCATCTATGTTACATTTCATTTCGTCATGTAAGGTAAATTGTGGACAGTCTGGCTTCCTTATGAAGTATTAAAAGTGGAAGAAAGAGTACATACGTCCGTATTCTGTATTGCGCAGAACGTCGACAATGTTTTCAAATAGTCCTTTCATGGATCGAAGTATACCATCACTTAACTTAATATAATCCGACTGGCAGGTTCTACATCGGAACTGCATTCTTTTAATCTGGAACTAACTGTAAGACCTTAGAGCGGCTCATTTGAGGGTTAGGTTCTTACATTTCCTAACAAACAAGGGAGTGCCCCTATCAATCCCGTATCCGAAGACTCATCGTACAGGCTGGCACCGCAAAAACTCCTACTACTTGATCCCGAGGGATAAGAAAATCTGGCATGTTTTGATCTGTATGAGTTTCACCGTTCCGTGAGTCATCGTCATCATACCAGAATACCTTAACTCATAGAATGAATTGATGAATGACTCATTCAGTGTACAATACAAATTATTGCACTGGAGTTGAAACCTCATATTCACAGCAATTGCAATCAAAAATGGCCTCAGGTCCATCTATGCCTTTTGAAATAAAGTATGCCAAAGCATCTGACCTCAGTGCCTTCGTGAGCGTTGAAATTTGCTCTTTTCCCTCGTCCAATTATATGCGCAGCACGTATAAGGGATGTGATCCATTGGCAGTTCACAAATTCAAAACGGTGTCTTCCCTCGAGTATTTCGCCAAGTCCGAGTGCCATATTCTAGCAGGTGTCGACTCTAAAGCCGGTGATATCATCGCATACTGCCGCTGGAATATACCAGCTATTTACGGGTTCGAAAGAGGTGTGGGCACAAGTCTGAACAATGATGCGCAAGCGCGAATGCAGAATATGTGGGCGTATGCCCCAAAGTTGAATAAGGGTATCTACACGTTCTACGAGGAAATGGTAAACCATAGTAGGATTATACATCTCAAGGAAACTGATATTAGTTCGTTATCCCATCTTGCCACTCTACATTAAATGTTTACGATATTGACTGCTAAATATACTGCTAGTCCTTGAACTACTCTGCGTCTTACCAGAATACCAAAGAATTGGAATAGGAAGTTCGTTTCTTAAATGGGGTATCGAGAAAGCAGACGCCAGCAACGCCCGGATATATCTAGAAGCCACGATGGAAGGAGTGCCAGCATATTTGAAGCACGGGTGGAAGATCGTCGAGGAAATACAGCTTGATTACACGGAGGTGGTGGAGAGGGAGGTCAGAAGTTCGCATTGATGATTAGAGAGCCCCAGGGAACAGGGGTTTGACATCTTTCTCTTTCCGTAATGCCTAACGTAATCAACAAAAAGACGCCAGTTGGATCGAGAAACAACGTAAGGATTCAACTCTCTTGAGTTGCTACTTGTCCCGTAAAGGACGTGAATCACACCACTATTGGTCTAGGCTGTTGTCGAGGATTGACAATATGCATTTCAAGTAATACATCAGACAAAGGGTATAGTACACATGTGCAAGAAAACAGGAGAGGCGATTGAAGAGAGATGTGGACTGCGAAATCCAAGATTGAGCCAAAGATGTATCCAAGTAAAGAAAGAGGTGGATATGAGTACAGTGGTGGTACACGCGTTATCTTAGGTTGATGAAAGGGGTTTCCTTCAAGATCCGTGGTCCTTTCAGAAGACCGGAGCCGTATCATGTATGAAAAGCTCTGTTTGCAATGATCAGCAATAACGTCATTCATTCGAGGATACCAAGTAGAGGCTTGCTTCATGAAGCATATGCATAGGGTGGATCCGGAAAACCCATCAACTCATGAGCGCCTAGGATGGTATTCGTTGTGTTCAGGTGCTGACCCATAGTCTTCACACGACATAGCCAGCCCCGGATTTGGCGTTGGATCAAGAGATTCACGTGCCTTGCCGATAAGCCAGTCAGTCAAAGTGACAAACTTAGAAGTCCGATCCCAGCCTTCCGCCTCATCAGCATGCTCAATAGTATGCGTCAGGATGCGACCCTTTTCATCAAACGAGAAGATGAACAAGCCCGTAAATTGCCCTTCCTTGGAGAGCTTGAAAATAGGCTCGTCGCCACCGAGAAGCACACTGAGTCCTCGATTTGTCCCATTCTTTGAGGACGAGAGGTGACTCTGTCCCGGCGTCAGTCCTGCGCCTTCCTTGGACGGGTACGACGAGCTCTGGCCGTCGATCTGTGATCCGGATGATTTCTGTGAATCGTGGAATGGACGGCTATCTGTGCGCGGTTCCGTTCTCCATCGTACAACTAGCCGCTCATCGCCGCAGTCATGCTGGTCTTCGTGCTTCGGGTCGAGGATTGTTCCCGCGCGCACGATCCGCTCGCTCAGGATTTGTAGCTTCACGTTTCCCACAAGTGGGACGCTGCTCCATGCTACGGGAACAGTCCATAGCGCGGCGCGGTATAATGTGCGTCCCTTGACGGTGGGGAGATGTGGGTGGGTTGATGGGAAGAGGTGGAGGTTAACGCTCGGAGCTAGGATCTCGGATGGAAGAGTATTGTAGAGTATCGTGGGGAGAAGAGGGGATAGTGTCCGAAGAGCTATAGTTGTTGAAGAGCTAGTTAGCATGCCGACTTCAACTGAAAGATAAGTTGTCCCAACACTCACTCTTTCCAAGCTTCAAGACCCGCTCATCTGGCGGCTTGTGGTCGTTCTGCCCCGGACCACCACTGAGGATATTCAAGTCTTTGCGTACTCTAGTCGGTGAAAAATATGCCGTAGGCAGTTGCACCGTCGAAGGCGCGGGTAGCCATGGGTCATTCAAGATACCATGTCGCGGGTGTGCGAGGGTTCTCGGCGGCGAGGAAGTGACCGAGCGACCCGCCGCTCCCGATGGCTGCAGCGCCAAGCGCAGGGAGCGTGAATGCGAGGGCAGCTTCGGCATTCTGCCTTGCAGTGAGAAGTCAAGCCTGAAAGTGCGATCATGCCCTGAGGTGGAGTTGTTGGAGAAAAGAAGAGGAGTTGAAGATGCGGGCGGGTCGAGATCTCCGCTTTTCCGGTTTCTTGGTTTCTCGCCGGGACCTGTGGGCCAATCGCAGCGCGGTTGTATACAATGTGTTTTAGGAGACAAGAGGCTATGCTATTGGCAGCCTTTTTACCGTGGATGGTCTTACAATTGAGGGTATTCGAATTGAATATTTGCAGATGCAATTTTGCTGACAGAATCATGTATCACAATGTATCCTTGGTATCCCAACACCGGTTCCCAACTCAAGCCAGTTCATCGTCATCACCCATGCCCATTATTCGTCGCTCCGCCATATCGCGGATCTTGTCTTCCAGGACACCTCGGCCATAGCGCTGCGCAACCTTGGCGGCGGCCTCCATCATCTTGCCGTTACGGTCATTCATCATGGTCACTAGTTCAAGTGCCTTCATACCACGCTCTTCACCTTCTCTGCATTCGATGGCCAGCATCTGAAGAAGAGTCTTGTCAAGCTCCAGTTCTTTGCGCGCAAGCTCAGCACGTTGGCTTGCGGTTGCATTCGTGGAGGAAATGAGGTCTCGGAATAGCGATAGAAGAATGTTACCACGCACGAAAGTCTCCTCGAAACGTGAGCCGTCGTTACCTGCATCTTCGGCTTCACTTTCTTTGGGCGGGTTGCTGGAGACGGGGACGTGGAAGTCGAATTCGCTGAGCAGCGGTCGTGGGAAGTATGGGTGTTTGTCGCCACCCTTGAGAATGATACAATGGAATTTCTCTTGCGCGACGGCCACGGGCCAGTAGGTCTCTTCCTTGCGGCCGCCTGCAAGTCGGGAGAGTTGCTTAGTATCTAGGAGAGGCACCCAGCGGGCCTGCCCGGGCGTGCGCCAATGTTGGAGCACCACCAAGACACCGGTAGAGTCATAAATGCAAGGGTCCTACAGCAGTATTAGCATTGATCGGTTCACACTCTTGATGGATCTTTAGGTAGCGTACCCCGGAGTCTGAGAAGAAAACACTCTGCAGTTGCGCTCCTGTGGGCAGGGCAACAACGTCCTCATTCTGGCAGATCTCGTCCCGCTTGACGTTCTCAATAGTGTATTGCAAGGTAGCATGTCGACCATCCGGTCCAACGGGTCCGTTTCCGATAGTCATAATGTAGTCTCGCCAAGCAGCGCAGGTTACGGCTTGACTCTTCTGTCGGTACACACGGAATGGCGTGCCAAACAGAGTATATACGCGCACATAGTCTTTCGTGGTCACCACAACGATATATGACTCGCTCAGAGCCAAAGCTAGTATCGATCAGTATAATTGCATCAAGAAAAAACTCATTGTGTAGTGCGAACCTCGAACCATCTCTCCCTGCGGCAACTGGGTTCGCCAGTCTGCTCGTGCAGTCCATGTCTCATGCGGCCGATAGAAAATCGTGGCAGGCCTACCATCAGATGGGTTATTGGATAGAAGCGTGCCGTTCTCATCTGTAGTAGGTTAGTCAAATGAGATCATAGTAGTTTGAGTTGCGACTTACTAAGACACGCTTTGTCGTATTGCCATGGATCCGTGAAATGGAAGTCCCGATGAAGCTCTCGGTCGTAAAACTCTACAGTTACAGTGTGGTGTGTTTCCTGGTCCACACTCCAGACGGCGCCCGTCAAGTTCAGGCCTGGCGATGTTAGCAGGTGTCATCCTCATTGCCAAATCAGTAAATACATACACAGATACCTCCTATTGCCAGCCCACGGTGTGCTACCAGGCTGAAGTGGTGGATGGGCCTTGGGTTGCAAGGAGGTCGAGTAAACACGTTTGGTGTCGGGACCCTCTAGATCTTCAAGATAGTCGTTTGGTCGTTTGCCGTACAAGTTGAGCTCCTCCGCATAGCCCGCTCCATCGTCATCGTCGACAAAATCACGCATATCCTCATCATCACCCAGGATATCATCAAGCGAATCAGGCGATCCTGCCCGTGCTGTTCTTTGGAATGTCTCTTTGGAGCGCTCGGCCAATGTCCGCGACACATTATTCGAGATCTCAGTCAAGGGACCTGGGAAGATCGGGGCAGCCTGCAGGGGCTTCTGCAGTTGGGACTCGTAATCCTTGGGAACAAAGTTGTCGTAGATGAATAGTTCTCCATCCGAAGTAGTAAATGAAAGAGAGTTCTTCGTAGGGTGCCAGGCGAGATTAAGCACGTTTCCAAATTCATAGCGCTGGATGACCTTCTGCGTTTTCGTCTCCCAGAGCACGATCCGTCCATCAGCTCCTGCGGATGCAAGCAGAGTTCCATTGGGCGCCCAGCTCAACGATGTAATGTCCCCACTGTGACCACCAGCAAAGCTCTTTTCCTTCTTCCACTCCGAGATTGAATAGATGGAGATATCTCTGGTAGCCTCTGCAACGGCAAATGCGGTACCGTCCGGGTGCCAGACAGCCCTGGCTGTTGCCTCCGCATCAGGCTCGAGCTTTCGAATCACTCCGTCGAGTTTACGGAGCACCTCTGGTTCCTCATTGGTCAAAGAGTAGACATAAAGAATGCCGTCCGTTCCAGAAACAGTCACATAGCGCCCGTTAGGGTCGAAAGTGACGTGCTTTGTTCCCTTCCCTTGCTCCCGTAGGTACTTCACCTGTGTCATGTCCTCGATTTTGACGACCTTGACCGTTAGTTCGCTAGAGACGTAACCCATTAGTGACCGTCTCTATTGGTATTTTTATTATTCAGAATATTACTTACTCACTTGCGACCGCAACCCATACACCATCACGAGATACTGCAATGTCTCTCACGGGCAAAGCGCATCGGACAAGCAGACCTCCCATTTTCCCCGATACGGCATCGTAGGACCAGACAGTTCCATCCTCAGCACCGAGGAGTAGTGTTTCATTCTGAAATTGATCGGTTAATTCTCCCGGTCATACTTTGTCCAATTGCACATTGCCGTACCGTAGCGCCGATTGCGAAATGACCATCAATGCTCCCATCGACCGTCTTGGGCTCTCCATCCTGGTCGACCGTGTAGATTCGAATAGCCGAATTTGAGCCACCGGTGATGACGCGCCGTCCGTCAGGGGTGTATGTTAGCACTGTCGTTCCCGGAGTGTCTAAGTTGTAGCAACCAAGATGTCAGTTGCAGTGTCGTAGGACATTCGAGAGCGCGACTTACGGGCTGGCCGGCCCCGAGGGCGAAGGGGATCGAAGCTCATGTTGAGGAAAGGCCCACACTTTGGGTTTCACTGAATCAAGGTGCAAGTGCGATCAGAAACTCCGGAGCATAACCAAGCCCTCAAGCAATATCGCAGTGTCCGGGAGTTGATGATCGACTTGTCCGATGGAGACGCGTTCACGACGCGCGCGCGGGCAAGGGATTTAACCCGATTGGGAAGATAGGGTTCAGGGCACACCACGTGATCTTATATGGTCGAATGCTGGATGGGTTCTTTGAATTGAAAAACATGGGCTCTATCATAAGTTACTATGTTTGAGGTTTAATCGAAGCCGTAAAATGGTAACCACACGCGAGCTCTACTGCCAGAGAAGAGTGCATGGCAACTTGCCTCTCCGTCCGAATTCGTGCTCTTCTGTACCTCCATGCATGTCCGAATTAATATACTCAAACAGAATGGCAAGCACTCTGCTTATACATTCGTTTCTGCCAGCAAGGACGATATTTAAGGGGCGATGATTTATTGACCTGAAAAATTCTGGCCTCTTTCCGTTCTGCGATAGCGAGGTTGATGGCGGTAGAAAATCCCAGTATTATCAATCAATAATCAATCGGACTGATAAAAAAAGAATGTAATATACAAATAGTGATTGTGACGCAATCACGACACGGCCGTCTAATCTAGAGCGTATATCATCATCCAGAGGTGTATCAGACGGAGGTTCAAGATGCCATGTTCTCAGGAAAGGGAGAACAAATGAACCAGAGTAGGCGAAACAACAGGGGACGTGTACTGTGATCTCAAAAAAGTGCTCCTTTTACTCTCACGAAGATTTCGAAGCCCCTTGATATATGATTGAATGAATTAATTCGAGGAGTTCATGTCCAGCATGCTTACCACTCCAAGACATTCCAAGACACTTTATATACAACTCTGATACTTCCTCTTGACATGGAGATTGCCATAGAGATTAGATAGAGATTGGATGATCCCCACAACTGAAACCCTTTAACAGAGAGACCCGAAACACTAATTTTCGGAGCAAGAATGATCAAGGGACCAAGTGGCAGGGCGCTGCAAGCACACGGCATTTTCCAATTGGATGATAGATTTTTCACGAGAGATGGGGAAGGACGATCTAAGGTACGACTCGGGTGGGTACTGTACTAGAGCACGAGTCTTTTTAGCTGTGACTTTGAATTGGGCGCCAAATTCCCGTCGCGCCCTTAATTCTCATCTTCTTTTACTTTTCATCTTCATCCCTCTCTCTCACTTCTTATCTTCATCCCTCTCGAAACGGCACCTTTTCATCCTACGTGAGTCTTGGAGTACCTCGAACTTGAGCATTCTTTAAAAGTCTTTTGGCTAATGTTTCGCATAAGTATTGATTCTCAGCGCGCTCATTCCTGTGGACTCCTGGTTGCTCGGTGCGCTTTTCACTGGAATTCGCCCTCTTTCTGCGTCTTTTCTCTGCGCCTTTTCTCTGCGCCTTTTCGTCAGAGATTCCATTCTCGTCTGAAATTCCTGGACCATGGATTCCGGGGGGGGGGAATAGGTTTCCTCTTCAGAATCATCCGGTGAGGTATGGCTCCCGCACGACCAAACTACCAACAACGACACTGCTTCTGAAGCCAGCTTCCTCGCCCTTTGCGACTTCCCCCACCCACCCTCAAGTGCGCTACTTATCGTGGCGCGCTATTTGACAGGAGAGGGGGACCGCCTTAAGGAAGACGAAGATAGATTGCTGCAAGTGTGCGCCGATTTAGAGTAACAATGGACTGCGCGTCTTGCCTCAAATCCACAGACGCAGCAACGCCTAGTCTTACATATTCCGTTATCGCGTTCCTCTTCTATTCAGCAGCTGCGCCCAAAGTTCATGGAACTCATTACTGCCTGGATCAAATCACTACGCGGTGATCAGCATATCGAATTAGTGTCGACTGGGAGAGATGGCTTCCTTATAGATAAGGAAATACTTCTGCCATTCTTTGAAAAATTCAGCGCAATCCAGAGCTGGACTATATTTCTCCCGAGCGTTAGCGGATTTGCGCATATCAATTTAAATACGCTTATTGGACTTTGGCAGAATCGTGATGCGCCGCCTCCGTGTATAGACCAGGCGACGAATGCCATAGCTCTGTTTTTGGACGAGGCAGCAAAGCGACAGAAAGCGCTTTCTGAAGCCGGCAAAACATACAGACAGCTTGTTACGCGTGGGCGTAATTCAATCCGTCGGGATCGAGCGTCTGGTCTCGAGAGAGAGGCTCTGCTATGTGAGCGGACGGACGCTAAGGGCGCCAATCTCGAGCGGGATCCTGCCCTAAGTGAGCAGACCAACACCAAGGGCGCCAATGTCGAGCAGACGGACGCTGGAGGCGTCGATGTCGAGCGGTTTACGGCGCTACAGGATTCAGACATGGAGCTGTTTCATGAGATATCGGACGACGATTTCTTTGATGCGCTTCCCATGATAACTGCGACGACTCCGCGTCATCGCATAACTCATGCGATTACGTGCCCAAGTCGCCCCAAGCCATGCAGAATCGAAAAGGTGCCTCGACAACTACCCCCACGTCTGTACCCTCGCTATTTTTGGTATGGAGGAAGCTTGCGACCTCGTATACCTGAAGGAACTACGGAGTGACGTTACGGGCCATTGTTAATTGAGCAGATCTCCTAGCTGCCAAGGATGCCAAGACTGATTAGGCGTTTTTATCTATTATGATTACAATAGTTATCCAAAGTATGTTAATAGCGTTATTATAAGAGATGCATTCGTTAAGCCAGCTCGCTTATGAAATACGTTATTATCAATTAATAATCAATCGGAAGAAAGAATCTAACTAACTAATGTACAAATATTGATTGTGACGCATCACGAAACGACCGTCCAATCTAGAGCCACAAGAGCGCAAGACCTCCGACGCAAACAGAGACAATGATCTGAGCCAAGCTCATTGGACGACCCAACGATTCAGCACCATTGAACGCTGGCGCAGATGTGCCGGTAGAGGTCGACAAGCTTGGCAAAGCAGTGGAAACAGAGAGAGTAGTCTTGCTTCCGCTAGTCTTCACTTGCTCTGCCGCATGAGAAGAAACAGCCTGTGCAGTGTGGCTCACAGGAACAGAAGAAAGCAAGCGGGACGAAGGAGTTGATCCAACCTGAGGAAGAGCAGTATACATAGCAGCTGCTGATTCAGATAGCGTATATGTAGTCTCTCCGACGAGTAGCGTCTCCGTCACAACCTGGGGAGCAGCTGGGTTGGCAGAGCAGCCAGTGACTTCAGGAAGGCAGGAGGTGATTGTAGTCGTACGGGTGCTGAAGATTGGGGACACGGAGACGGAGATCGCGGGGCTACCCGTCGGCAGAGAGGTCTCTTTCTCGGTAATCACGTAAACGGTAGTTGATGCCTCTAGCTCTGTGGTAACGAAAGTGGTTCTTGCGGAGGCTGCACACTCGTTGCCGCCCGATGGACAGGCAGTTGCGGTGACTGTGTGAGGGTTGAAAACGGTCACGGTCGTGTATCGTTCACTGGGCTGCGGGGCACCCTGAGCAGGGACACCGGTAGAAGTAGCATGCGCAGTAGCTTCACTTTCAGCCACTGGACAAACTGTAGTCGAAACGTAGATGGTCTCAGTGGTGACATATGTGGTTTGTGACCGTGCGGGACAGTTGATCACACTTGAAGGACAGGCGGTGATAGTAGAAGTGCGCGTGCTGTAGACGGTAGAAGTTGTCAATGCAACATTGGTAGTTGTGATATGGCCGGAAGATGTCGTTGGGGGGAGATCAATAGGCGAAGAGGGTGTCGAAATAGGTTCCAGAGGACCTGTCGCAGAGGATTGTTGGTTTGATGCTGTCGAAGTGACGGTGGTGGAGAAAGGAGCGACCGTGGAAGAAGACGAAGGAACAAATGAAATAGTCGATGAACTAGAGGTCGAGGTGCCTGATGGGCTTGAGATTGGAGAGGTAGATTGCAACTCCGTGCTGGTCTCGGTAGAAGTGGTTGCTGTGAGGGAGGTCGATCCAGTTGGGACTGAAGGAGGAGCTGAAGGAATGACAGAACTAGAACCGTGTCCGACAGATTGACTTGACACTGACGATGCAGTGGTGTGTGAATCCACAGGGGTGGAGGTTGGGGTGTCAGATTGTGCTGGGGATGAGACAGAGGGTTCTTGCGAAGGGACCGATGATGGCGAGACCGATGAAGAGCTGCGTACATAGGGCGTGCTTGTCGGGGCCAATGTATCAGATTTCGTATGGCCAACGGGCGATGAGGGAGATGCAGGAGCAGCTGGGCTCGAATGACCGATAGGTGATGATGAAGCAATGCTAGAAGCCACGCTTGACGGGTTTGGTGCTGGCGTGGATGCTGAAGGAATCTGTGTAGGGACCGATGATGGCGAGACCGATGAAGAGCTGCGTACAAGGGGCGTGCTTGTCGGGGCCAATGTATCGGATTTCGTATGGCCAACGGGCGATGAGGGAGATGCAGGAGCAGCTGGGCTCGAATGACCAACAGGCGATGAGGGAGTAATGCTAGCAGCTGGGCTCGAATGACTAGCAGGTGAAGAGGGAGTAATGCTAGCAGCTGGGCTGGAATGACTGATAGGTGATGAGGACGCAATGCTAGAAGCCGGGCTTGATGAATGTGGTGATGGTGTGGATGCCGGAGGAGTCGAGCTAGGAGTCGAGCTAGGAGTCGAGCTAGGAGTCGAGCTAGGAGTCGAGCTAGGTGTCGACGATGGCGTGGCAGTGGTGCAGACTTGTGTGGTTGTTTCAAGAAGCAATTTGGCGTTATCAAAGTAGATCTGAATTTGGGAAATGCGATATGGGCTACAAGTCATGTACACGCCAAACACGGCACTTTCACTGGTTGCGGTTAATGCGCCGCTCAAAGTGGCCCACTGGTTGGTATTCCGATTGTAAGCCGCGGTTTTGGAGCTGATGATGTTGGCCGACGTGAGAGAGTCATGGTAGAGATAAACAGTGCAGCTTTCGGTAATAGCAACATTGGTGACAAGTACCAAGAAGTCGATAGAGGCTTGATAGCTAGTACCTGGGACCAGACCTGATATCGTTTGGGTGGCCGTCTGGAACGGGTATACGCCACTAGTCAATCTATATTGGCCGTTAGTATATCTGAGCTAGTTTCACCCCGTTTCGGATATCCGTACAGCGATTGAGTGCCATCAGTTGCTTCATTGGTCGACACTGAGCGAGGATAGACGTAATTCCATGAGCCCAAGCCGTCCTCCCAGGATGGGTTGGAGAGAAGATTGGTGGATACGGTGTTGTCGGTGCAGGTTACGTCGCCGCTCGTACCACTTGCAATGGCTCGTCCGAGGCCTGCATAAAGAGCGACTGAGAGCCACCAAGTCAAGGAAGCCATTTCGAAGATGAGGAGGACCACGTCCAAGCCAAGTGCCTAGATGCTTGCCCTGGGAAAAAAAAGAAAGAAAGAAAGAAAGAAAAACTTCGCTCGAAAGACTTGTTGTAGGGTTGTTGAGTGACTTTAAGTTCCGGACCCGGTGCTCGATCTTGATCTCTATCATGGAGGGGGCGTAAGATTCTGGTCGGCAACTTTACTACTGTTATGATTACGGCCTGATGGTTCGGATGGCGTTTCAATAGTTCATGGGGACGGCGGTTTCCGATTGTCCAATCACGGAGCGTAGTTTACCGTGGGGCGACAAAAAGCCCTGTGCCTGGATCAGGCACATGGCTTGGACCACCGGCGATTCCGCAGATCCACTATGATTACCCCCAATTTTAGTCCTCGATAGGAGGCCTTCTCTGGCAGGATTGGGTGGACTTGATATCCCGATCCCGGCCACACCACAATCAGGGTTTTAACCGAGATCATGAAGCCTTATTTGGGTTAAACCGTCCCCACTTCATTTGCCACGAGCTTACTTCCCTGCTTGAGATCGAGAAAAAGGGACCGGCTTTTCCTTCTTCCCCGCTCTTATCTTCCAATCGCTAAATTTACCTCACATGCATCGCGAGGATTCTCCTCCAGACTTGGAAACCGCTAAAAGCTAGTCAACTCGATTGGTCGCGTCTTCCCACCCCAAAATAAACAAACCTCCTAATTTGAACTTCTACCGCACACTGATCCTAAATAGGATGATGAGGAACAAAACGAGTCATGCCACGCGGCAGGTCCGGGTGGCTTGCGAGTGGTAAAAGAGCCCTATGGGCAGAATTGCTTCTGCATCTTCTGTCTCTCTACGTGCAAGTAGGTTCAGTCCAAGACGTTTAGTGTAATAATCGATGTAGTCCTCGAATTCGGTTCTGTGCTCTGGATAAGTCAAATGTGATAACAATTGTAGTATAACAAAGTGGATATGTAAATCTATGAAAGCTACTGACCTGCACCACCATTGGCAGTGAGAAAATCAAAGTCAGTCCCCTCGTGTGCCTGATTAACCGACCGCTCATACAAGCCCCGATACCCTCTTCGGTGCTGGCGGGCTTGGATTGGCCCCTTTTCACTCTCAAGAATCTGCCTCCTTTCCCTGATCCGACTCTGCAAGATCTCATCCGAAATCTCAAGATGAAGTCTGCGGTTCTCGATATCACAAGTAATCAAGTCACCCGTCTGAACTACTCCAAACGGCGACTCGGGCAGCGCTGCCTCGGGCGAAATGTGGAGGATTATCGTACCCCCGGCTGTGCCCGACATACGTCCATCAGATAAGCGTAGCATATCTTTCACGCCTGCAGCAGCTAGTTTCTTCGGGATGGGAATGAGTCCTGCTTCGGGCATGCCCGGATTGCCGATCGGACCGATACCCTTGAGCACCAATACGCTGTCCTTGGTCACTGGAAGATCTGGGTCATCGATCCGAAGTGCTAGATCGGATGAATTTTCAAATACGACTGCCGGCCCGGTATGTGAGAGTAAGGATCGATATTTCGATGCTGAAGCTTTGGTCACGGCCCCATTGGGAGCGATGTTACCGTAAAGAACGGCCAAAGAAGAGGAGGGGTAAAGAGGGTCCGAAAGAGACCGGATGATATGCTGCTCGAAAGAGAGTCTTTTAGACGAGGCAGCGTCCAGAACCTCCCCAAGAGTCTGGCCACTTATAGTTTTCGCAGACAAGTGCAGTAGGGGCCTGAGGACTTGTAACAGCGCCATCATTCCCCCCGCATTATGGAAGTCGTTCATGTAGTTGTCTCCACTGGGTTTAAGATCGATCAAGAGTGGAGTCTTTCGGCCAATCTCTTCAACGGTTTGCAAGGTGATCACTCCTTGCAGGGCCGGGTGTCTGTTTGCGATGGCTAATAGATGAACAACGGCATTTGTCGATCCGCCGATTGCTTGTAACACGGTGACTGCATTCAGGAATGACTCCTTGGACAGTATCTCCTGTGGCTTTCTATGAGCTTTTGCAACCGCCACTGCATTTGCGCCGGTTTCTTCTGCAATTCGTAGTCGTGCAGAAGATACGGCCGGGGCGGATGCACCTCGTAGAGGCATCATTCCTAGAGCCGCAGTGACACATGCCATGGTGCTGGCAGTTCCCATAACGCCGCAGGTTCCGATCTATCGAGGGTCTATCTGTCAGTCTTTCGTCACACTCTTCAATATTGCGGAGAAATTGGAATGAAATCATACCGTTGGTGCAAGCTCTTCATTAATGGCAGAGATCTCTTCAACATCGATTTCGCCAGCCCGGAACGACGCCCAGTTATTACGGCAGTCGGTGCATGCTCCAATCCTCTGACCACGATGACTGCCCGGTAGCATTGGCCCCGTGATCAAGGGTAAAATCGGCTTATTAGCTGATATGCCACCCATCAATTGCGCAGGGACAGTCTTGTCACAACCTATGCAGGGTTAGAAAATATCAAAGGCCAATGGAAGAAAGAATCGGCTCACCTCCAATCACAATACAAGCGTCCAATGGCTGCGCTTTGATCATCTCCTCCGTATCCATACTCATCAAATTACGCAAAAACATGCTCGTCGGATGAGAGAATGATTCATGGACGCTGATGGTGGGAAATTCCACCGCCAGTCCCCCATTCAAATGGACACCGCGCTTAGCGGCCTCAATCAGTTGAGGTACATTGGCATGGCAAGGATTAAACCCGGAGAAAGTGTTAATGATACCGATAATTGGTCTGGAAAGAGCATCTTCAGAATATCCCAATGCTTTGATGAACACCTTGCGGAGGAATAAAGAGAAATGGGCATCTCCGTAGGACGTTAGACCTTGGCGTAGCCCCGAGGCAGATGTGATAGGGGTTTCGAGGTCGTAGTCCCCATTGGGCTCGGGTTCGCCTTCAGTCATGGTGTAAGATTCTATTATAGATGGCTTGTTATGTACGACTGTACACCCCTGTGACTGATTGTGGCGATTGTCAACTAATACGTGGAGGATTATATATGTCCATTTGCTGAGTGGATGGTGTCATTCGGCCCAACTCCGACCGGATATGATTCCGTGACTTTCACCCCGCACTCGGAGATCACACTCACTCGGCGCTTTTTTGATGCAAGTGATTAGCTTCGCATCTGTTGCTATTCGGCGATCTTTGATAATTACCGACCTCGCTTACATCTTTGCCTTTCTCGTTTCCTGGACCAGTTCGGCATTTTGAATGATGAACCGAAAGCAGCAGCAACATTCCCGTTGATTGATGCACCCAAAGTTTCCCCAACTTCACTCAGTCTTATGGATTAAGTAGAAATGCATGAACGCAAGTGAAAAAAATTTGTCTTGCTCTATGCTAATCATGGTATTCATCAAATACATCACGGAATCACGCAGCCACGTCCACTTGACAATCCCACTACAGCTTCGCGGTAGGTCCCAGAAGATGCTTCATCTCCGAGTTAGGATACTCCACATTCTCAGAAGAATCAGGGCGCTGTCGGTCCCAAGCCCACTTCTCCACCAATTCAGGCTCCAATTCACCCTCAATCATCTGGGTGATATACTTGCCCAACACAGGGAAGAACTTGAAGCCGTGGAATGAGCCGCAGGTGGCGACGTATAGGCCCTTGGAGGCGGAGTGTGGGGAGATGATAAAGTCGGAGGAGGTCGTAAAAGCATCCCTTTCAATTGTTAGATCTCCAATGCTCCAAATGACAAGTGAAGAGGTGTCAATTAGGTAGGTACTTACCAGCAAATTCGGTGTTTCGTCATCTCCCAGTCTGCACTTGCAGGTCCGTACCACAGATTCCGGGATTCGACAATATCCTGCTTCAGAGGTCCAGGGACCTTCCACTGATTGTAGTCGTGCATAGGCGGAGGTGAGGAGATATAACGACCAGGCAGAACCTCGCGGGTATTTGTGAAAATCTTGGATCCCCACCACTTGAGCTCTCCATCCTTAGTAGGTGGGATGCTCCCAATAAACGGCTTGCCTGAAAGACAATGTGAGCAGCATGTCCATAGAAATACCCATCCAACAATAGAACATATTACTCACCCTGCTCAGGAGTATAGCCCTGGAAGCCAACAGGCATATCCTTAAACTTTGCATACTGCTCCTTCTTAAGCTGCGCCATTCCCGTCGTGATTCCCGCCGCCAAAATGCGCTCTCCAGCCCGAAGACCCGTATTGCCGCTGCTCGCAGCACTCCACTCCAGCAGTGTAGGCGTGAAAGCACCCGCAGCGACGATGACATGTGTAGCCGACAGAACCTGACCAGACTTCGTCTTTGCACCCGTGCAAGAGCCCCGACCATTGAATTCAAGCGTGGCAATTTCGGCCGTCACATACTTCACACCCAATTCCAGGCACTTCTTCGTCACGGCGCGAAGGGCATCGCCAGCCGCAGCCCATCCACTAGCTTTATTAATCAGGACCTCCTTGACACCCGTATAATCCGCCTTGTCAAAAAGACCACCGTAAAGCTTCCGCGCCTCGGCAACAGGCAAGGCAATAATATCGTTATTACGGCCTAGCTCTTTATGGTGATTGATAACGTTCTGCGCGTAGTCACTGCGACATGTCCAGTAGACGCCGGTCTGGTGGAAATAAGGTTGCCAGAGTGGGTCGGACTTGAAAATGTCTTGTGCCTCCAGGGCAAGTCTGCAGTAAATCTTGTCATCGTAGTCGGCGCGGACGACCTTGTTCCAGTCCCAGGATGCAGCTACCCGAGACTCGGCGTCGTATGCATCTCGATCAACGAGAGTGACCGAGGCATTAGGGTATTTCTGGATTAGGTGGTAGGCGGTTGAGACGCCAAAGACACCGGCACCAATGATGAGATATGAGGGGTTGCTTGAGGTCATGTTATGCAGAATGAGAACGAGTCTTGGCAATTGAGTCGCGGTGGCTGTTGCGGATTAAGGCGAAGGGATGCAGAATTGATAACCGTGAGGTAATGCAGCTTCTCCGGGGTTTGGGGCCAATCGAACATTTATATGTCACTTCATACAGAGTTTCCAATGGCTACTTTATCTCGAATAGCAAGCCACTCCGCTCTCGCTCACGGGCCGTGAACCGTTGAGCCGGTCACGTGGTGATATAGTACAATGAGCCGCGCCCATCTCAGACATTTCACCAAAAGAAGTGTTTTAGAATCAAGCTATGCTTATGACGGAATTTCTGTTCAGACCAAATCAATGCCAGTTTAATTGTTCAATTTGCTCCACTTTATTGCTTTGTAATTTGAACATACGGTGCAGTTTCAAATTATTGAAGTACTCCTGGCGGCGGGCCAGACTTCACGGTCCGTGTTCACGGACCGGGTTCAAATACCCGTCGATCGATGTACGCGGCCGGACCTCGTGCCATTAGCAGATAGGAAAATGTGGAGGATTGTAGCAGTTACCAATCAATCATTGAGAAACTTACATCTGGATCTATCAAAATTATCTTAAGAATCTTCGATCTCCACCAGGGACAGGAGAGGAGAGGAGAGTCCAAGCACGATATGTATTCCGGTATTCTCAAAACGATGGTGCTGAGGTCCTCCTCGAACTGCCCAATCCACCCGCGCTATCGGAAGGCCTCCCGATACTGAGCATTGCTCCTGCGGACAAAAACTCTTACCTGCGGTTGCTAACTACGTTTTCACCGCTCGGGCATGTCCAGCTACATAACTACCCCGCATACAGAGAGATGGAGATACAATCAGCGGGGATGTTGGTTAAATTTAAAGACCGCTCCGCATCCCACAACGGAATACTAGGAAATCACGTCGAATACAATCGCATCGGGAAAACTTCAATTTCGACGCAAGCTGTTCATAATACATACACCGCTGGCTCCACAAATGCAGCAAAAGAAAAGACTTGAACCCCCATCAGGAAGGCTTATGGACACAGGTAACGATGTACAATCTCAAAGAAATGACCTACAAATGGGAACCTGTCCCATTGACTTCATTTCATTCCAATGTAATTTCACACTTACAGCACCTGCTGCTGGTTCAGCAAGTGGGCAGCTCCATCTGGAAAGGAGGCGGCGTGCACGCCACTGACGACGGAGGAGTTGGAGTGCAGCGGCACACCATTGTCATAGCCCTGCTGCAACACAGCCTTGTACTGTTTTTGAACGTTAGTATGAGATCTGGGAAGTATATGAGATGCAAAGATCGGCACGAACCTTGAAGGCGAAATTGAGGACTAGCGCCACGGCCAGACCAATGCAAACGACGATCGGACCGAACATGCTGTCAAGGTCTTTTCCGCTGCGCTGGCGGATGAGTCGAGAGCGCTTCTCGTACATGTACCAGCCCCAAGCAGCAGAGAATAGGGCAAAGAAGGTGTAGACAGTAGCCAAAGCTTGAGCGATCCGGTTGTGCTTGCCAGCAGAATTATACAGACCCAGAGACAGACTAGATAGCAAGATACTGATGTGCAGCCACTTGATGAATGTACGCTGGTTGGCAAGCCACACCTTGCTTTCCACACGAACGGGACCCGAGTCCTTGATCCAGATGCCCGGGTGGCGCACACCTGGGGGTAGGGAGACGACCTCCCGGCCAGTCCAGTTCTTCGGGTTGAGACCCATTGACTGCAAGACTGCGGCGACGCGAGAGGGGGGTTCCTGAGGTTCCGGGGATTCCTCCACGCGCTCAGCAACGGGCTCGGGCTCACGACGCGGGTGAGGCGCAACGACAGAAATCCGGCGGTTAGGTTTGTTTTGGGCTTCGCTAATGCCAGAGGCACGACGCAGCGCAGTGCGGCTGCCTGACTCGCCCCACCGGCTGAAGGGAGATGCAGACAGAGGACCACTGGGGCTGCCTGCGCCTCCTATGAAGCTGCCAACGGCCATGTCGTCCTCGGCACGCTTGGCAAGGCGTTCTTGTTCCTCGTGGAACGCAGTCTCCGGGTCACGACGGATGTCATTTTCCAGCTCACTCAGCCAGAAGGGGAAGCTGTTGACGTGGTCTTCGAAGAGCTGTGCGGTACCATGGACAAATTTGGAGAAGCGGGGTGCATCCTTGACCAAGTGAGAGGACATCAATTCATTCACCCATTCAACATCGTGGGCCTTGCCGCGCAGCTTAATCTCCAACAGAGCATGGGGGAAGCGAACAATCTCGCCAGTGCGAATGTTATCGAAGGGGTAGGACATGCAGGCATCATCCAAATCAGTGCGATGCCATTCGGTAGGCTCACGGCAAGGACGCTCGCTATCGAGGGAATCTTCGCGAATCAAGGCGAGATTGGTGTCAAGCGAGATTCGAATGCGATTGTCGCCGGGAATCTGGAATGCAGTGCGCGTGTAGTTGGCTCGCAGCATGGGCTGCAGGTTGTGTTCCTTGATGAAGGACTGCAACTCTTCCACGTTGTCCTTCAGGGTTTGAGCCTCCGCAGAACCCTCGCCGTCATGCAAATCTTCCATCCGGTGAACTTGTTTGTCCAGATGATACTCATCATCTAGGAACTCCTTGATGTGCTTCTCCTTGAGTTGGACCCTGATTTCACGGCTGCTGTCGTCCTCAGCCACGATCTTCTTCTCCAAGAAAATGGGCGGTTTGTCCTTGAGCTGTCCGGTCCACCGCAGCCTCAAAGAGCCGGCTTCAGAGGCGCGAGCGACCTTTTGGGTGTAGAGTTCAAATTGGGGGTTATCGAAGTAGAGAGAGGTGATGGCTGGATCGTCGGACAGACCGTCCAAATTTTTCGAGCTTCCGGGGTTGTAGATCAACACAGGCAGACGGCGCAGGATAAAAGTCTTAACCTCGAGAACATTGTCGGTGTGCACCCAGAATTTGTAGGACGAATACACGTCGCGTAATCCACGTTCCGACTCCTTTGGTTGCACGATATCCTGGCTCAGGGTCTCGCGCACGAATGAATACATCACCGATAGACGATGAACCAGCGGGGAGTAGTCCTCGGAGTTGAAGGGTGTTTGAGACAGGCGCACTTGCAGCAGGGGCTTAACACGGTAACGAGCACCACGCTTGCGGTCGTGCTTCTTAGCGGCTTTGAGGAAACCCGTGAAGTTGATACGGCTGTACTTTTCGAGCTCACTGACTTCCTTGGTGATATTGTCAAGCTCTTGCAGGACCTCCGAGGCAATCTTGCGCTTCTCTTGGTCGTCCAGGTCCGAGGCCTCCTGGTCCGCGGTCGGTGCCAACGGACGGAGCTTAGCCTCGCACGCAGTGGTACGCTCTCGGAGCTGCTGCGAGGTCTCTGATTGGAAAGCATTGACCTTGTCAAGCTGGACATTGAGAAGTTCCTGCACAAAGGCCTCTTCGTCTTGCTCGGTCCATTGGCCATCGTCCGAGTCGCTGGCGTCCTCACCGGTGACATCATGCTCGCGCAGAAGTGTCTTCAGCTTGGCGTAGTCGATGTACTTGCCCTTCCAGGGCGGGTACACTGCAGTCCGCAGCGTCTTTCCGAACCTCATGGTGACTCAACTGGAGGGTTGGCAGACCAGATGACAATCAGAGGGGTCGGTGGTTGGGGTTGTGTAGCCTCTGCCGGTGGTTTCGGAAACGTTCCCCGGGTGCGGGCAAACGGGGCAATTGCTACAACGACGAGACACAGAAACGATCCAAGTTTATCTCAGTAATTTGGGATAAAGATTGGAAGCCACTGGGTGATTGAAAATGAAGCGATTTGGAAACACCTCGAGGCTTCGACGAAGAGAATTGTCAAGCGAGCAGCTTGTGAGTGGGATGGCGTCGAGGTCGGTCGCACGTGCGCCTTGCAGTGGCTAGCCTTCCTCTACCGCTTGCAGCTCACCGGCCAATCAGCGGTTCCATTTCCATTAGCTTGAGACAAAAGCTTCTTTCTTGCGACTCGGACTAACCCGAACGGCCCCGGACTAATCCTATTCCGGCGGTCGGAATCTGGGTCAACGAGTTACGGGCACATACGATTTCTTGGACGCCTGTGCTAATACTGGGGCTGGCCCACAGCCCCGGGGCCGTGGTGGGTTTCGGTCGCCTACCGGCTATCGAATGAGTCCCGGCCCGTCTATACGATATGACGGTTGTACTCCGTAGCATTTACATATCCAGTCTATTGCCTGTATGACTTGACACGGTTTGGCAAACACGTAGCGCATTGTTTCCAAACAGACATGTTGATGTATGGCATTTACGGTCCCATTGAAGCTCAATACTTCCACCCTAGATCGAAGAATCATTTACAAACAGTCGTCAATAGAGTATTTAACTCAATCTCACCCAACGCCCCACTCCCGGCTGTCTGGCCATAGAAAAAAGTCACCGTTTCTCCTCGTTCCTGTGCACTATGAACATGTGTGTCCACGAACAAGAGAATTGATTGCGATGTACGCTACATATATTCCTGACTTTGACATGATCAATAGCTTCAGTGAATACTCAATCATTTTGTAATAGATACCGCATTGGATCATCGCTCTGGTGGATGCTCTTATGTAGGTTTGCCGATGTACATACTTGACATCGTGACAAGAGCTGCCCGGGGGCCCACCCTATAAACATTTTTTTCCACGCAGAAGACTCTGGTGTTCAAGATAGCTCAGCCTTCCTGCTCCTGATATTAACGTAAAGGTAAACAATTATAAACCGGTCTAATCTACCTATGACCGGCCCGTTATAAATCTTACAATATTCTACGGATCCTCGCCGGGGCCGGTTAAACATGAAGGGAGCAGTTCGGATCTCCCTCGATAGCGTTAGTCAGCCTCGGCCCAGCTGGACCCGTCGGAATACATCAGAGACTCCGCGGGCAGTCCATTACTGCCGACAGTCCAGATCCCTGACATTTGTACATACATTATCTCCATACGCGGCCTCAATCCGGCGTTTCATATCTTTCAGTGTCGCGTGCCGCCTTCCCTCATCCGATGGCGGAGCCTGCCCACCAAAAAGGCACGCCGGGCCTTTCCCACCATCTCCATGGCGTTTTAACCGAGCTACGTCGTCGGCCGTACCCGCATGTCCCCAACCCACCGGGCTGCAAGAAGCGAGCCTCAGTCGCCTTGATCCTACGAGTTAAGCCGACTTACGATCACTGGCCGAGCTCGGATGCTATCACAAATGACCCGTCTTCGTCCGTCGAGCAACAGCTGCAGGATTTCTTCACTCAGCCGTGGGTCCGACATGGAGACCCCGAGGTGTTGTTCATCAAGCGTGCTTCGCGCGAGGGAGATCGCTGGACCGGACATGTTGCCCTTCCAGGTGGAAAGAGGGATCCTGAAGATGCGGACGATCGGGCGGCGGCGGTTAGGGAGGCATCAGAGGAAATCGGCTTCGACTTGACGACGGACGATGTGATCAACGTTGGCAACCTTCCTGAGCGAGTAGTCACCACAAGCTGGGGATCAGAGCCGTATATATTGCCCTTTACTCACCATCGATACGTTCATTCTAAACTAATTGCTTTCTTCCTAGACTCATGGTCCTTTGTCCATTCGTTTTCCTGACTACCCGCACCGACTGCCCAACCTTGAAACTCCAGCCCACCGAAGTAGCTTCGACACATTGGATACCACTCCGAGCTCTCCTCTCCCCATCCCTTCGAACGGTTGAATATGTGGACATGTCACAGCGCTTCGCTCGACAAGGCGGGTATCTGAGTCGTCTAGCCGTTCGAGCTTTGATGGGCTGGATGCAGTTCTCGGCCGTTCGACTACTACCCTCAGAAACCCAGCAATGTACCTCGGTACCCGGCTTCGTGCCCGACGAGACGACGAAGCAAAAATCATTGATATCTCGGTTCAAAGCCTGGACGCTGAGCAATCAGGCAGATTCGGGCGATCTGAACCGCCCCCTGTTACTATGGGGCCTGACACTTGGAGTCTTGGCCGATTTCTTGGACATGCTCCCTCCTCACTCTGCAGTAGAGCTATGGAAGTACCCCACATTCACAGCGCCAGACCTCCGATTCATCGTGAGTATTCTGACCTATAAGCTTCGAAAGCGCAATAAGCAACAAGTGAAATTGGGTGCTCGGCCGACAGACACGGCTGTAGACAGCGAGACCGCTGCGCTGCGCGTGAGCCCGAGTGCAGAGGGGCATGACCACAATGAAGTAGGCATTGGTGGCCTCGGTGTTGGTCGGTACTATGGTCCCGGAGATCATACCGCTGATGGGACCTCGTATGCCGTAGGCATTATGTTGCGAGGTTACTATCAACGGCTGCGGGTTGCCATCTGGGTATACCTCGCCTGGCGCGCGGCTCTCGGCTCAGTAGCAGCTTTTGCAGCCTGGCGATTCCTTCGTCGAAGATTCCTCTAATAAGGTGCTTGTTCATTTACATACTAGCTAGATCTAGATGGTATATGCATAATTGGGACTTAAATTCATAGAGCTCGTGGATGCGCGCCCGGTCTAGATGGTGATTACATAATCTGAATAGTTCCCCACCCCTTCCGCCTGAAACTCCGCAAGTAAACAATCCCCTCGTCAGTCATTGATCACGCTTTCAACTCCCTCTCGGCATCATGGCAGCAACACAGAAACTCTACCCCCGCGGTACCGTCAAGCGCATTGTCAAAGCGCATTCAAATCGCAATGTCAGCAAGAATGCCGATATTCTGGTACGTTCCACTACCAAGCGTCTCGCAACGCGCCAGATCTCATTGCTAACCAGGGCTTCTCCATGGGTCCTACAGATTTTCCTAGACTACATGCTATTCATGCAAGAGTACGCCTTGAACCATTTCTTCCTCAGCCTATCTATACCGGTTGCATTCGTGTGCAAAACATCAAATTAAAGCTTTCCGATTTTCGCGAGTCAACAGACTGACCATCCACAACTAGATTGATGCGAGAAGCCTCGATTCGATCACGCAAATCGGGCGAAAAGAATATATCTGCAAATTCCATCCGCAAGGTGACTGAGGTATGATCTCTCTCTTTTGGGATGGGGTCGTCTCTGTGGTCCCGTGGTCGAACAAGAAATTGCTGACAAGAATTGATCTTCCCTGGTACAGAAAACACTGCGCAAATTTCAGGGATGAAGCAAATTCGCTGGACCTCAGGCGATTGAATGATATACAAAGCAAGTTTTGTGTTTGCGTGTGTGGATTGAAGCGGAGTTTCTTTGGAATTGGCGGGTTGGCGTTTACTAGCATTATGGCGTAATTGGTGTGCGGAGTTAATGATACCCCAGAATTTACGAGAACTACCAAATTGGGGTAGTTTATATTTGTTATTATACAAGCAGCAACTGCGAAGTAACTTTGTCGCTTTGTTCAGTACAGTCAAAGGTCGTTTGTTGAAAGGTAAAAGTACCTCCGTAGGCTGAAAATGCGGGCAGCCCACCGATCAGGAAAGGATTCGGGCGACTTCCACCCGCATCGATTCTGCGGATCGTCGAACTCTCTCTCCGACTCTCTCAACTTCACCCCAACATTCCCACCCATCCTCCTCGTTCATCTGGTAAACCCGCGCGGTTCTAGACTCTGCTAGACTCTGCCGTGCTTGCACCTTGTACAGCACATTTCCCTCTGGTTTTAACTTCCGAAGCTGTGTCACCACATTCCATCATGGCTCCCGCCTCCGCCACCACTCAGAAACCCAACGACAAGGCCAAGAAGCAGACCTCTCAAGCTCCTAGCACCCCCAAGGCTGAGTCTGAGAGCCCCGTCTCCGAGACGAACGGTGCTGAGCCTACTGTTTTGAAGGAGTTGCAAAAGTGCGTATGACGCGATCGGTTTCTGCCCGACACGTGAAGCTAATTGAATTGCGCCTCTAGGAGCCTGCGCAATGCCGTCAAGAAGCTGGTACGTTCCACAATCTCTCTACTTCATGTGATTCAATTTCCGATATCTTGTGATTGAGTATACTGACAATCGATTGCTTGTTGAATAGAACGCGACTGCCAAGATCGACGCCATCATCGCTGAAAACCAAGGCAAATCCCTGGACGACCTCATTGCTGAGAAGAAGATCAATGCGGACCAGAAAGCCCAAGCCCTGAAGAAGCCCGCTCTTCAAGCATCCATTGCACAGATTGAGGAGCAGATTGGTCACTACAAGCAGTTCGCTGCTCAATACGAGGCGCGCTTGGAGAGCCAGAAGGCTACTCTGGAGAAAGCTCACCAGGAGGAGCTGGAGGCTGTCCGTGCCAATGCTATTGCTGATGCTACGGAGACCTCGTCGCGCGTTCTGCGCGAGCAATTGCTCACCCTGACCAAGTTCCTGTGCGCTGCTGCTAATATGCGTCATGCGGGCGAGACCGAGTCCCCTGAGAGTCGTGCTTTCGAGGGTGTACTCTTCCAGGTCTATGGAGGTAACAGGAAGGCTGTTGACTCTATGATTAAGCTGGTTGATGGTGCGGATGAGAAGGTGGTCGGTGTTGAGGGTGATGCTCTGGAGCTGAGCTGTAAGTGTTGTTTCTTCAATCGCTGCTCTGCAGTGTCTTTCCCCCGATTCTGTGGCTTACATTCATCGTTTCTAGATCACGATGTTAAGCTGGCATCCAACAAGTTTGCTCCCGTGGAAGAGACATCCGAAGCGACCACCGAATCCGCTGCTGTTTCCGACCCCACCGTGGCCAATGCCGGCCTGACCGAGCTTCAGGATCCCTCCATCAGCGACGAGCTGGCTGCCTCCGAGGCGGCCAATGCCACTCCTCAGGGCGAACAGGTTGCACCCCCCTCGCAGACCTTGATTTCCGATGGTGCCAACCAGGTGGCTGAGACGACCTACAACCCGACTTCCATGGAATCTTCGGCCACCACTGATGCCTGGGTAGAGGTTCCCCGTGACCCTGCCGAGACTGAGACTGGTCTCCAGGCCACTCCTGCCGACGTGAACAACAACACTGTTACTGCCGAGGGTGCCGCAGCCGGAACCAAGGGACAGAATGGTGGTCAAAACGGCCGTGGCCGGGGCCACCGTCGTCCCCGTGGCGGTGACGGTTCTCGTGGACGTGGAGGACGAGGTGAATTCCGTGGCCGTGGCCGCGGAGGTCGTGGAGGTCGTGGCCGTGGCGGATCCAACGGTTCCCCGGCAGCCACTCCCGCCCCCGAGAGCCAGGGCGCTGCCCAGTGGTAAAGGAAACACACAGATGTCAACATCTCCTTCGATGCTCAACACATGAAACTATCTAATCCCTCGGCTTCGTCCTACCCAGGACAATGCTGTCACCTGTTACTGCCATTTTCTCTTGCCGCTGGTCTGGTGTTATGGATCACGAACGCAACGAATTTTCTTTTCCGAGGAATGATTTTGGGGTTATCTTCTTGTTTCCCCCTATTTTGCTAACAAAAATTGTCATCCTCTAACTAATGCTTTGTTTCGAGCGTGCATATTACCCCCGATCAGGGTTATCTTTTCTCCATGTATTCTATTGTCATTTCCTGGGTGATTCGATGGTGATGGGGGAATGGCGGGCTGGCAGCTAACTTTCCGATGGGAAAAGCTATGAATGAAGAACTTTATGGCGAGTCTTGATTATCTCTTTGATTGTGGATGTAGGTCTTACGTATGGCTAGCTATCGACAAGACACGAGAGTCCTTTGATGCCGAGATGGAACTAGAGATGGCGTTGAGACTGAGGGCGGACTCTTTAGAATGTGTCTCCGATCACTCATGTCCGGATATGACACATATATTATGTATAGGATGGGGAAAGAACGCGATCAGTAGCATGATAGATCTCAATCTGCTTCTGGCTTTAGCTCAATTTCTGGCTTTAGCTTAAGAGCTTGAGGTTGGCCTTTCCCCCGCATGCAATGTAGACTGCGAGTAAAAATTCATCCTACAGTTTTGGCTTTGATTCCCAGACCTAGCAGCCCCTCCTCCAGCGTCTTAAACAACATGGGGCTCTCAACAAAAATCTAACAGACATTCCACCCCTTCCAGATTCTCTCGGACCTCGATCTTGAGATCAACAGTACATATCCTTTGAGATCCCCGTACGCGTTAAATAATCTCATCTTCGCCGGTGAAATTTCTCTAGTCCATAGCATGCGAACTACTCGTGGAATCCTGCTTCTGGAAGCGACATCCTTTCAAAGATTTCGAACCTAAGCCGTGCTAAGGCTTGGGTTTATGGACATGCAGATTACTCAACGGAAATCAAGGAAAGGGTGATCCGTATTGTGGCGAAGCAAAGGGGATATATACTTCCGTGGAGTACTGAGAAGGGATTGGGGGATCGGACGTTGGGAAGGTGGTACGCGCATGATCTTTTAGATAGCGTACTTTTTAAGTTCGGATGCACTTGTAGGTGTTCGCGGCTGGGATTGTTGCACTGCAAAAAGCTGCAGTTTGTAGGCTGATCTCAGGGAATTCTATCTACTAATTATGGCCCTATCATTTGCTTATCAATATGCAAGTACACTAAAAAAACACCAGTCGGGTGATTTATGTATTTCCATCCCTACTAGGAGAATATGGTCGAGGAACAGGCCCCGCTAAATGATGGGGTCCCGCGTGGACCCCTGGATCCCCTAGGGCCGGGCTCCCTTCCGCCCCATGCTTGACCTTGCTTCGTCATACCTGTTCCCTTAAAACCTGCTCACTTTCTCCTCTCCTTCGACTACTCACCCTCTCAATTCCTTCATAACTCGATCAATTGAATCGCCTTACCACGGCGCTAGCCAACATTATGGCTATCGCTGCCGCCCAACGAAAACAGGTCCTCAAGGTATTGATGATCTCGCTTCTACTGGACCTCGTATGATCCCCCTCCATCTCAAGCCACTTCCGCGCACTCACAGAGCAATCACTGACCCTCAAATCAATCGCCAGATCTCCTTCACGTTCATCCTCCCCCTTTTCCCCTCCCTCCTCTCCTTCTACCGCGCCCAAGACCCATCACCGACCTCCCTCCTAAACCGCATTTTCCATTACCTGAACGCCTACAAGAATGCCTTCGCCCGCCCCATCGACTCACGCTACGACATCGTCCTTCTCGGTGGAGCACTAGGCTCCCTCTTCTCCCTTCTCCAAGCCGTCGCCGCCCCTATCATTGGCCGCCTCTCCGACCGCCATGGTCGACGCCGCGCCTTATTAATCTCAATGGTCGGGAACATCTGTAGCGTCACGCTGTGGGTTTCTGCGACGGATTTCCGCACATTCCTGGCTAGTCGGGTCGTTGGCGGGCTGAGCGAGGCTAATGTCCAGCTGGCTAATGCTATTGTCGCGGATGTCACGGATGAAACGCGTCGGGGCGCGTCGATGGCGCTGGTGGGCGCTTGTTTTAGCATTGCGTTTACCTTTGGGCCGATGCTCGGTGCGGCGTTGAGTACGGTGGACATTGTCACGGCGAATCCGTTTATCACTGCGGCACTGGTCTCGCTAGTGCTGATCTTTGTGGAAACGGTTTATTTGTGGGCTTGTTTGCCTGAGACGCACCCGCGGCTGACGACGTTGGAACGGGAGGAGAGTGCTGAGTCCGGTGCGGGGACGAAGAGCGAGGCGAAGGTTGGAAAGCCTCGAGGATATACGAATAACCCGGCTCTTCTCAATGCTGTCCACTTCCTTTTCCTCCTGCCGTTCTCCGGTCTGGAATTCTCTCTCCCTTTCTTGACGACGACTCTCTACGCCGGAACAACTACGGCCAGCCCGGCGGCTTTGAATGGTCGTCTCCTTTCTTTGATGGGTCTGATTGCATCCCTTCTCCAGGGCACGCTCGTCCGTCGCCTTCCTCCATTGATCACCGTGCAAGCTGGAGTCGTCGCCTGCGCGCTATCATTCTTCTGTTTAGCACGCGTCTCCACACCATCAGGCCTCTATGCCGCAGGCGGCTTATTGGCCGTGACGAGCGCTACCGTCGTCACCGGTCTGAACAGCCTGGGCAGCTTCGAGGCCCGGGATGCCGATCGCGGTGCTGTGATGGGCCGACTCCGGGGCTGGGGTCAGGCAGGACGTGCAGCTGGACCGATCTTGTTCTGTACGCTATTCTGGTGGGCTGGGCGTGAAGCAGCTTATACCGTCGGTGGATTGGCCATGTCCGTCGTTGCCGTGGCGGTGTTTGGCTTGTTGAAGTCGCCTTCGTTGCATGTCAAGACGGAGTAAATGTCCGAAGTGCAGACCGCTGGTCGGTACTGTACACATCTATATTGCTAGAGTGCCTATTTGGATGGATTGCCCTCGGCGGGGCAAATTTCCGGGATAGCCGTCTTGCGACTCGTTGTATTACTAGTTGAGCAAATAGCATATTCAAATTACGCATATAAGCCTGCAGCGGGATTAATGCAAGCTACGCTTGGCATGAAAGCTTCTCCGCGCAACTCAGTCCTAAATTAGATTGAACTTCTACAAAGAAATACAAAGAATTCCTCAAGAATTAAACTCTTGACGAACCGGTGGATCCATCAGGCGCTGCTGACAAATTGACAGCCGCTTGAAGCCGCGGCGATCTATAAGCAGCCCCTCGAACCTGGAATTTTAGAAGCTTAAAACAGAAAACCTACAGCCGTCCAAAAGTACTAGATCTCTTTACCCCTCTCGCATTCGCCTCTTCAACGTTCCTCTCCCATCTCCCTCCCATCTACCGATCCAACACAAAATACACGTCATGACCAACTTCAAGATCCAGATCATCTCCGACACCGTCTGTCCCGTACGTTACACCTCCCTCCGCCTGCTCCTCCCTCATCTCCAACCTCCATACTAATCCCCTCCCCAAATTCAGTGGTGCTACGTCGGCTACAGACGCCTCTCCCGCGCAATTACAGCCCACCAAGGCAAAAACCCCCTAGACACCTTCACCCTAACCTGGAACGCATTCTACCTCAACCCCGCAGCCCCCGAATTCCCCGGCGCGGACAAAGCCAACTGGTACGCCGTGAAATTCGGACCCGAGCGCACGGCGGCGATGTTCTCGCGTCTGTCTGCCATCGGCGAGGGCGAGGGTATCAAGTTCAGTTTTGGCGGGAATACGGGGAAAACGCGCGATTCGCATCGTTTGCTCTGGTATGCGGGGCAATTGGAGGAAGCTAAGCGTGCAGATGCCCCTTCTACTTCTGCCGTGGTAGGCGGGCTACAAACCCGCGTCGCGGAGAATCTATTCCGCGCATACTTTGAGGATGAAAAGAATATTACCGATCCACGGGTATTGTTAGAGGCCGGAGTTGAGGCGGGGTTGGGTCGGGAGGAGGTGAAGAAGCTTTTGGATTCAGAGGAGGGAGGGGCCGAGGTTGATTCCGAGGCGAAGACTGCGTCGAGACGGTTGGTTACTGGTGTGCCGTATTTTTCGATTCAGGGCAAGTATTCTGTGGAAGGGGCCGATGAGCCCGAGACGTTTTTGGAGATTTTTGAGCATATTAAGGAGGATGAACAGATCTAAGGTTGAAGATTTTTGAGTTGTTGGGGAAGTACTATGTATCATTTCAAGCTCTAATCTGGGATCAGAAGTTGAGGGTGATTCAAATCTTATTATGCTCCACTGATGATCATCAAGAATGGATCTAGGATATCAATTTTCATGCAAGTAATCTGGCATTAGTGGGGATTCAATATACGCTACCTATCAGCGCGGGTATATTGCATAGGAAAGGCCAATTGGATGACGCTAAACTAAATGAGAAACCTAGCTATCGGAATTAGAGATACTAGCAAGGCCTTTCAAGCCGCGCTTTAGGCTGCTCGCAGACACCCCAAGTTCTTCTCCGATTAGCTAGTCCTCGAACATAGTCCTCACTCTCGAATTATTAGGCACTCTTCTTTTGAATATTCAAAAGAAGTTTGGAAGCTCTATCTTCCGATTCTTGAGTTTGGAAAATCAAGATCTTGGATTTCCCACAGCCACGACATCTAAGCACTTAATTAGTTCCTACAAACATCAGCTGATAAAGTATGATCATGGGATCTACCTTTTCGCTCGCTCGAGTAGTACAATTTTCTATTTACACATCGGCGAAACGCCCATACTGTCAGCACGCAGTCATGTTGACGTCTTAGTGGGCGCTGTGTCGATGCCAAATCCGCTTTATCTCCGAATTAAAACCGAACGACAGGAATTTTCCTAAACAGCTAATTTTGACTAACTTGATGAATAAAAAGTGCGGAATTCAAAGGACGCAAATTTTCTAGTCTCGAGGAAGATTGTACATGGCTTTGCAGCGGGGCGCTAGGCCGGATCACAGGTTTTAAGGATGGTCAACGAAGTAACTGTAATTGATCATTCGACCTTGAATTTTATTCGACAGTCGTGGAAATCCAGATTAAGAACCGCCCGTAGGTCCAATTTATTTTGCTTGCATATCAGTAGCGCTCCATAATAAGCGATGCCTTCAGTGAGTCCTCTGCGAGGAACCAGCCCTTGCTCTGCAAGTGCGCGGTTAATTCGGTCTACTCAATTAAGGCTGTTTTGCAGTCCTTTCTTTTGAAAAAAGCTTCAACAATGTACTCCGTCCCCGTACCCTGGAGGTTCAAGAGGGGCCAGATCTCCAGCTATAGGGGTTTCTCGTTCCACGAGCGAACAGAGCGCCTCACGAGGATCGGGCCAAAGATACGCGATACTGCTAAAGTATCAGTGCCCCATTTGTTGGAATTACAATTATCGAACTTGCTCGGCCTATTATTTATCAGCATTTTGCGGAAGTTGCTTATTGCTGGAAGATCCAATCCGCTTTTCCCAGAGTCTGCTACCGTTTTGTTGCGGCTGATAGAAAGTGTCTACTTCCATTCGATTTGCGCCTCGTATTGCTTGTTGCCAGCGTTAAAGCCATCATTGTCAGCCGCAATATGGGCAGCTTTCATATCGCTGCCTATAACGGTATACCGCTTGTTATACGTTAGCTAGAAGTGATCTTCTTTTTCGGTCTTTCGGATACGGGCGCTCCAGTCGGTGGCATAGAGTTCCTTGGAGCTCTTATCGAGAAATTGGATATTCATTTTTGTAACAGTGAGAGTATCTCAAAAGTCAATAGGACGGTAGCTGTTAGCTCGTGTTCAGAGCTAAGGACTGCATGTGGGTTGAGCAGGAGCCGAATCTCGTAGTCGGGCACTATATTTGATACTGCCCGTACTGGGGACATGATAGCGGTGGTCATGGCGAAGGAGGGGCATGGATGGTATAGAAGTGGTGGCTCAGATGAAGCCACCAAAGCAATAAACGACTATTACACGATTAAATCAAGGTAGTTAGTATCGCGTGCCGTCAAGGTCTTTATACGTGTTGGAAGACTTGATTGTGTTTGGCGTAATAGAATTAGCTCGTGTTAATTGAAATAGGTCTGGATTGTTGGCATCTAGGGATCTAAAAGCATTTTCTATATCAACAATCGTCGGATGTCTTTCCGTTAAACAAGAATAAAATAAAGTTTATTTTATTTTGGTGGCATGGATCTTCCCAGGCGGACCAACAATTCTTTGTCCGCAAACGGTGCAGGTCCTACCCAGGGGTACCAGCGGGGTCCAGACTGGTCATTTGCGATGGACTCGTCATACAAATAAGTCTAAATCTTAACGAACAGTTTACCTCCTGCAAATAGGGTTACTGAGCTCCCAATCGCCTACCAGAGGTTCTGGATATCAGTCATGCACCACTCAATTTCAAACACCCTATGCAAGTCTTTACCTTTTAATAGCATGAGCCTTGCAGCTGCCAGTAGTGGGCTAATATGGATATGGATCATCGGCTAAAATAGCCCCAAAATCCCCCATCTACTTCGGTTATTGTCCAGCTTATAATGTACATTGATTACAAAGAATTTTACAGGTTATTATATCTCAAGGGAGTGAGTCCGCTATAATTTTGTCATATAAATGGTTGGACCGACCATGGACCGACCGCAGTTCGTATGAACGTACTGAACCATGAACCTTTGCTCCTTAATATTCATGTTAGGTCATGAAGCCGTCGAAACACAAATGGAAGGCTTAGGCGTGCTACAGCCATGGGACAGACCTCTCTAGTTTGTAGTCATGATATATCGCCTGAGTGAAATAATGTGTTCATCAGTTATCTCATAAATGGTGTAGTGTTCATATTCTAGACCCGACATACCGGCAAGCCTTCCTGAATCTAGACTACGTGATGGAATTCTCTCCTAGGAGGACTGGCTGCGCAGGCATTCTGATAATGATAGATATCGGCTACAAGTCTACAATGAATGCATTATCTCGAATTATTTGTGGCTCACTCATATACTCAATGTCACTCAGGACTGGGGAGATATCGGCCACCGAACGGTAGCCTATTTAGCCTAGAAGCATCTAGGAGATACACATCCAATCCATCCTGGTAGCAAGACATTTCTTCAAATATGTAATGCTGTTGCAATTCAATATAAAATATATTTCCTTAATCGCCACGCAAACACATCAAACACAAACAAGAATTTGTGACCCCAGACACAGCTCACTGAATGCCAGTCGTCTCACTAGCAGGTATAGGTATGCCGTTGTGTCGATCGAGGTCCGCCAACAGGCTCTTTGGACATAGAGCTCTGGATAGGCTGGGCCGAGACTCATAATCCGAATGATGCGCCACAGTCATCTTCTTATCCGGGCGCAAGACGTACTCTGGCACCGCCAGCAAATCGTCCTTTTTGACCCATTTCCAGCCGGTTTGACCACCACTACCATCATCGGGCCCCTCGATCACGAACCCAGCCAGTGCAGCTGGAGAATAACTTGGAGCCAGATTGGTCTTCCGGATCCGGGCAATTGGATGGAAGAATTCTTTAGTGGTGCGAGCGCTATCGACATCCCCTGGAACCTGCGGATAGTTTCCCGGCGTGCGGTCCTGTTTCCCTAGGCCCCGGAAGAACGCACCCTGCAGGCCAGCAAAATTGGACGTGATGTGCCCACAGCCCCAGTCATCATTTTGTTGGCCTAGGGCGTTACGTTTGGCCCGCTCAGCCCGGTGTTTCTGGATTAGTTCCTCGATTATCACACCTTCAAAAGTCACCATTCCAGAAAGATTGTCCACCTAGAGGTCCGGAGTTAGTACTCAATGGACCATGATAATAAATCACTTGGACAAAGAGGTGGAAAATATGGCATACCATCCATGCAAATGTAATATCCTCGATCTCACTATCTGGAGCTCCACCCCCAATATTTTGGTGTACGCCGGGAAACCAACATTGCTGTAGATCCTTGGCTGGCGCATCCTGAGTTCTGTGCCAAAGGGTCGGTGGGAAGGTGAGTCGTCTCTCATCGATAGCCAGGGCTTGAAAGGCATAGTCAATGTCTACATCATCTGGTAAGTGGGGTTGCATTTCGAGGAATAAGACGCTTTGCAGGCAAGGAGCGATGAACTCACTTTTTGACACACTTGTGTTGTGAAATGCGTACTGCTTTGAAAGATTGATACCTACTCTCGAAGCCAAATTTACTAACGGCCAATCAGGGACCCCCTGATCAAAAGCAATGTTAGCTCCTGTCATTCGCTGCTTTAGAAGTACCTGCACGTACTAGAGCTCCAACCGTGTCCCATACGCCCACTACTTTGATGCGAACATCATTCTCTAAGCGCAGTTTGCCTTGATTCTGTTGATACCATGCGGTCTCCCGGAAGGGCTGTCCGCCGGTATTCTCCCGGTAAGCCTTCCACATCTCGGCGAAGTGCGACATGTGTTGGGACGAGAGTACGCCTATGTCGGATACTAGGCCAGCCACGGAGCGGACGGTAAAAGCGCCGCGCGAGAATCCGAAAAAGAACAACTCGTCGCCTTTAACGTAGTTGTTGGATATAAATTCGTAAATCTGACAGACTTCATTGTCCAAACCCCAGCCGATGCCGCCTATAATAGAAAGAAAGTAGTTATCACATCAGCACTGCACGGTTTCAAATTGGAAAATTCGGATCTTACCATAAATAGCCTTCTGGAAAGGGAGCTCACCCGATCCCAGTCCAGAATGATATGAAACAATTTGCTGAACGATATTACCATGGGGGTCTGGGCCACTCGTCGCGATTGTACGAGCGATTCTCGCGACATTGGACGGCACGGACGCGTCTCCCAGGTCGGATGCAAGCCAGGTTCCGTCTGCACAAAGGATAATACGTTTATAAGTTGCTAGCCGAGCCGCTAGCTGCGCCGATTCGCGGGGCATGGCGGGAATGAGTATAGAGTTTTAGCTGGTTTGCGAGGCAATTTGTGTGGATGATGGGCCTGTAGTTTGGACTAAGGAAGTTGATGTTAATATATCCATTTGTGCCACGCGATCCATGGATTATTTCCCAAAGGTCTACCGAGTGACCGGCTCGCGATGGCAAATCAAACCTAGCCATCATCATGGGAAAATCTCTCAAAGGAGCCTCACGCTTTGACAGTAAAATGATGTCTCGCGGCTTGGCTTGGCAAAGAAATATACCCGCTTGCAGCCAAGTCTTAGTCCCAGCTTATTGTTCATGGCGGATTTGGTTAGTGGGTATGTGACTCCGGGTTGAACCAAAAAGACACCCAAACACCCCGCTTGCCGCAAAGGCTTCAAATCTGACGGAATCCAGTCACTCTTTTGCATTTACAGCTGCAATAGCTACATTTTTTGAACAATATTACCGCTAGTGTATATGATCCGTTCCTGGTTTCGCTTGTCTTGGGGTTTGATTGACACAACGTTGCGAAGAGGTATTTAGATGACGTACTTCCATGAGCTACAAGGGCGAATTTTCGTCACCAGTGTTCTGCTCAACCCATTACAATAGCAAGAACCTGTTGATCGGTAAGAGCAGACAACGTTACCCTCGTTCAGAAACAATCCTACTGGTAAAAAGCCGGAATCTGGAATATGGAACTGAGTTCATTCTTTGTCCTTGATCACGATCCGAGTAAATCTAGAACCCGTGGAATAGCCAAAACCGGAATGCCGGTCTTGGCACATTTTGAAATTTGAATATACCATAGAAGCTTAAAGAACAAGCACAGCCATGAATACACAAAGTCTTTAGATGGGACTAGATTCTGCTAGGTATTTTGAGTGTTATTTGCCAAAAGACAACGCACATACCAAGTCACCTGCACCGAGAAAAATGATTTCAGAATGAAAAGAAACGTTTCTTTCACATATACGTTGTCTGTGATTGTGGGTAAATAGTGACCTGATTCCTCACATTTCCCCTTGACTAAAATCGACATAGCTTTGAGGACTTCGTCTATCGCTACTACAAAAGGAGTGTGCAATACTGGTTGCGTGGTGACTATAAATCAAAAGTATATATTTCTTCATCTCTGCCTATTATTCTACTCACTCAAGTCAGTAATTAATGTAATTTTGTTGTCTTGGTTTGACCTAGACTCTATCTCGGCTCTAGAAGCCGTCGCCTGAGCTCCCTTGCCCAGCAATGGAATGGCCTCATGTTGAGAACTTCCTGTTAATTTTTCAATGGTAGATTAATTTGCAACATTGTTATTCTGAGAAAGAAACTATAAAAAGCTAGTGGCGAGATTATATTTTGGATTCGGGCGATAATTGACCTCAGTCGTGTACATTTAATGCAGTTCACGCTTTAAATCTAAGCTTCATGCTTGGTTAGTCCAGCCACCCACTCACCAGCGATCTCCTGAAGTCTCCGGCCGTAGAGCAGGAATTTAGACTCATTTTGAAATCAGCTGCAACTCGCTGTATGCGTCTATATACACCGGATTTTGTCCGCCGGGTGGGACTTTCCTGTCTGGGCAGCCGCCGCTTTAATAAGGGCGACCAGGATCATGCTCAGTGATCTGATCAGCGCAGTCATGCATATAATCGATCAGTGACCAATCAGCCGTGCTCAGTGATCACTCAGCTATAGCTTACTCGCCCTGACTCATTATCCAATCAGCGAGCGGTATTTCTCTTCCCACAGTCCAAGTCAGACTTAGTTGATCCCGCTCCGAGCGGACAAGAAAGGGTTCAAGCTCTAGTGTTTTATAATGACGATCAAATTCTAGAACCTGGTGAACCCGGACCATAGGATCCATTACTAGAGTCACCATTTGATTTCCCGTGGACATTTTAATATTCCTAGCAATTCCATTTAGTAATATCGACATCCCTTCGCAGTCCGGTACGGGCCGACTTGGTATGCTCAGAATAGTTTTATTCGTGACCCAACACTACTACAGCCATTGACACGAAGACTCCGAGGGGCTGGATGATGACTAAAAAGTTTGAGATCATAGTTAGGGCGGTATATACCACGTGAAATTAATAGTCTGAATGATGCTCTTTACTAAAGTAGAGGTAGGAAGGTAGCAGTGGAGTAAAATAGCCATTGCTAAATATGGCAAAAACATACAACAGCCAGGATTCGCATGTGGTCACCCACCATACTACTAACTGGCCGGCGTGTGGCTTAAGTACGGCTGAGCGGACGGGAAGCCCTGTTCTCCACACCCTATGGTCGTATGTGTTTTGTTTCAATTGTAATATACCATATATCTAAAATCGTCTCCTGGAAGAAGAGACTGAACATACATCGAACGTTGGACGGAGTGAAAAGGGCCAAGAGCGACTTTACGACGCTTCAGTAGGGGGAAAAAGCGCCAGATATGGCACTGGACCACCTTATATAAAGCCCAGAGATTTACAAAACTTGGAGGACGGATCTGATCATGAGAATTTGATAAGTGTTTTAATTTCGACTTCTTTAATGGTTGAATGCAGAAATAGAGAGTGACGGTTTTCCCAGAGCAATTAGCGTGATGTCTTAAGTAATAACCTGATGTGACGGTTTTCCCCGATCAGGAAAAACCTGATATAACGATTTTGACAGATCAGGAAGGGGGGCCTATCCCATCTCCATCTAACTTCAAACATAAATAACTCAACAAATATTAGAGATATGGAGATGATGAAGATATTATAGTAGATCCTATGAGAGTCTCTATTTAATTATATTATTAGTTGCTGGATTTATGATGCCGCACATAGTATATGATTACATCTAGACGTAGGATAGAATCCTTATTAAATTTGTTTGCCCGATACTTAAAACAGGTAGCGAAGTGGTGCTTTGAATGTCATTAAATCATAGATATCACCCCGCTAGGATCTCGTATTACTAAATTAGTTATACGATATCTCACCGATATTAGTAGTATCCACTACTAGTGATCCCTCTTCTAAGTCAATTTATGGATATTAGCACTAGTCTCAGCGCAAGCGACCCGACTAAGCATAGAGTCACGCACATTAGATGGTCAGCTACTTCGTGTATGAACGTGATTTCTTTCATTTAGAAAGCTTATACGGCTAATAAAGCATCATTCTCTTTGCTCTATAAACTTAGTGGACGGTCGAATACGCTTTGGAGGCATGTTGATCGGTAGACAACAAAAGAGAACTGAAAAGGTAGGTCGGCGTCACTCGCTTAGCTATGATGTTATGCATCATGGATTGTTACTGCTAGCGAATCCATTTCTTCTGGGATTACATGGCATCTGACCTTCCGCAAACTCATGGAAGAAAGGGAAGAAAAAAATAGAAAAGAAACAAAGTAAAACTGGCTAGCTTTTGTGATAGGCGGGATGTTTTTCACTTTGCTGCGTTGCCGTCAACACCCGCTTAATCCTGTTCTCCCCTGAAGCATAAGGCTCATCCGCCTCCTCGCGAGCCATATCGTTGATCCAGCGTCCGTTTGGCCGAATGCTCACACCTTTAGATAACTTCGTTGCCAGGTAAAGCCACGACAACATGTTACCCACGGTACTAACCTCGTCGCTTACGCTGCTCGCCGCATATCTGCTCATGCGATTATATAGTTCCGGGTCCATCCACAGTTCAAAAAGATGGTTAGCCACTGCTTCTGTGTCACCGACATCAACTAAAAACCCGTTCTTGCCATGCTGAACTTGCAGCGGGATTCCGCCGGCTAGGGTCGCGATCACCGGTTTGCCCTTGTGTAGCGCCTCGGATACCTTGACCTCAAACCCTTCGCGGGTGGAGAGTTGTAGGGCAATCTTTGCCTTGGTTAGAAGGGCATTAAGCACCTGATCATTGGGACCGACACGCATAATGCAGATCAGTGACCGAATATGCTCGAGGTGATGCTCGACGAAAGCTAAGGCAGCTTCATAGACGATCGAGCCGTCCGGATCATCGACGGATCCGTGTCCGCAGATAAGCAACTTAGGAGGCTTGATGTCTGGATGTGCCCCGACGAGACGCCTATGGAACGCTTCGTACGAGACGAGGACGTCTTCGATCCCTTTTGAAGGATCGAATCGGGCAACTTGTATAATATAGTCCTCTGGCATAACATCAGCTTATGCAATTCTGAGATAGAGGCGTACGGCAGAAGCCCCCAGAATATCTCACCATCCGGGTATGCAATGTGCGGCATGTACCGCTCCCGGCACTTCGAGTTAAAGATCCGCCCATAGTAATTGCTGCTCCAGTCTGTCATAGGCTTATTCAGACCGTCTAGCCAGTCAGTTGAAGCTGGCAAATATCCAAGTTTCTCTAGAGGCACATTTTCTGGGACAAAGGCGCCTACAGGATGACTGATAAAGAGATCTGCATGCTTGATTGCCTCCCACAAGAATCCCCAGGCCTCAGCTTGCGGAGTGCCCGCCGTGTTAACAAGGTCACTTCGGATCTGAATGTGACTACGGAAAATAACCGGTCGGTCTGGAGTTTGTTCCTTGATAAGTGGGATCAACCATGGTAGCTGTGGGTCGTCAACTACGATAACGTCGGCACCGCCCTCCCAAGGTGGCATTAAAGGGCCGTTGCTTTGATGCCAAGGCGGAGGTGGCAGTCCATGTTCCTGGAGTAATGGATATGCGCGGTAGCGAAGATTATCAAACCACTGGGGAAATGCGAATGATTTTCCCTTGAGCCAGTAGCGTTCTGCATTTTCAAGGACCCACTCCTGAAGGATACCCCTATCCTCTTGAGTAAATCGAGTGCCAGGAGGTGCGACGCCTTGCAGGATATTGTGGTTGTTCTTGGTAATTCGGAAGATACCGGGTTTCGGTTTTGGGACATACCTGAATGAATGGTGAGCAGGGAACTGTGCGAAAAATATAAGTGAGACTAGCAAGAGCATACCACCTAAGGTCCACTCCGAGTACTTTTGCAAAACGAACCATAGCATGGCGCATCAGAGCGACGCCACCACCTTGCGGAGTAGCACTAAAGAAGGCGATCTTTACCCTTCTTTTCATTAGGTCGTTGGCATATTTATTAATTGCCTTCCACGTAGGAACTCCCACGGTTTTTTCATAGTCCGCAAGCTGGGTCAATCTTACATGGAATGCGGCGTCGACCTCAACAAGGCCTCGGACACCGATCTCTGGGACGGGTGCTTGACTGGGGCCGAAAAATCTGCCGAAGAGTGAGCAAGAAGCCGGATTCAGCTAGAAGATGACCGCCTCACCTGATACATTTCCTTGCGATCGATTCTGCGTGTTCGTCCAATGACTTATACGGCAGGTCGTTCTCATATAAACCAAAACTTACTTTCTCCTCCGACTCGCGCAGCACAATCGGGATAATATCTAGCTCAGCCCAGAGGCGCGAACAGAGCTCAGGGCACCGTTCAGACAGCTCTGTTGACATGGCTAAGCCGACGAGCTTTTGGCTGTGCTCCTCCTGGTAATCTCTAACCTTCCCTAAGACGAACTCCATAAACCCGGTCCAACCATCCCGGCGGCTGGCGCTAGGGAATTCAAATTGCACATAGTCCAGCGAGTACGAACTATCTCTCACGGAAAGGGCAAGGGTCGCCCCAGCCAGGAGGTGGAATCGGACTGCCACGCCTGCATAGATAGCCTGCGAGGGATCAATATGCAACTTCTGCACGCATGAGATATCTCCATACACTGAATGGCGGCCCAGTCCAGTCGTCTTTCCGCAGCCCTGACTTCAGTGGTCGCTCATATACAGACATCCGTCTCTCAACTTCGTCGCCGCTCGTGTAGACCGTGCGAAACATAGCGGATGGGTTTCGCGAAGTAGAGTATAGTCACTGAAATAGAAAAGATATGTAATTATCATAAAGCCATGCAAGCAGCTCTCGATCATGATGCTTCGGTGTATCCGAATCGACAGACATGTGGAACAATATTAATCGGGCTTTGAGCTTTCATATTGTCACCTGTTCGGAGGTGGCTGAAAAGCTTCCGAATAGTGAAACAGTGTCCATGGTTCGACAACAACGCCATTTTTGCGCCGCCCACCCTTAGATTTCTGTTTGGACTTGTCTAGACCATTGCGACTATTATCCCGTCGGTGAACTCAAATGTAAAATTCTCCTGTCGAAAGATGAAGAGGACAGGCGTTATACTGAGTGGCCCACTTTCCTTTTTGTTTATGCAGTGTTGAACTGGCGCAGTGGTCAAACGCCAACCACTAAGACCATTTTGGGATAAAATGTTCATCGTCCACCCAATTGCCCGGGTATTCGTATGGTATTCGGGTTACATAGACTCGGAGTATGGTACCGTAACACACTAGTACTGTAACACACCACAACTGGATGATACAGACTCTTAAGAGTGTTCAACCACTCTCATCTTCTATCAACTGCTTCTATTGGACATCTTCAGTACTAGCTATTACATCAATTCATCTCACTGATATATAGTAATTTGTTATCCTTGGCGTTACGAACGTCGTTACACCGTGGATCCAAGTCATCTATGGGGTATTCCACTCTGCCCGATAAATCCGTTCTTTCTCTTCAATCATTCAGCCTTCTCATCCAAGATTGATTGCGCTTGACCTCATCCTCGGACCGTCAATTAACTAAATGATAGTGAACTTTCAAGGAAGGTCGAACCGCGTGTGAAACGAATTTACTTCAAGTTCCAACCTGGGTCTGACCATTTTGACGCCTCTCCAGTCCACCTGCAAACGCTGAATGCATAAAGAATTGATCTCAATTATATTGGAAACCTCACCCAGTTGAGGGACAAGGAGAATATAGATTGGCCGTAATGGGTGACCTTTCGTGGGGTACTTTTAGTGGGGAAGAATCTCTCAGTAATATCGGTGTAGATATCCCGTGAGGCGTGCCAATAAAACTACTCCCTGTTATGACATTGAGAAGATGGCAGCGAGGAAGAGCAAGCTTTGGCCGAAAATACGCAAAGCTCCGTATCATAATTAAGATTCACATCATGGATTGAGAATATTTGTACATCTTGTAGCATACTCAAGATAGTGTGTTCAACATCTGGCTTTGATCTCTGTACAGCCCGTCCCGTAAGTGCGAACAAACTTTGTCAGCCAAGAATTTAAGCATCCACAAGATTTCTCTATTTTTGTCTGTATCCGGTCTGTTGGAGCGTAGAGATTCCATTTCAATATGTGCATGGTCGTGCGAGGTTGCAGCAGACGCGGTTGCAGCAGACGCGATTTCCCATGAGTCACGCTCCTCATCGCTTTCAGGATGGAGCATTGACAGGATCTTGTTCCACTCACCGAGCAGATCCATTTGCGTAGCAGACGCACTTTGAAGAATAGATATGAGTTTGCCAATTTCTTCGCCAAGCAACAAGGAGCGCTGAGCAGCTTGAACAAGAGGTTCGCAACAATCGTTCTTATAAACAGCTGAACTGATTCCTTGTATATCGTTCCGCCTGACATTAGCGGGCACTCTCCCAAGGTTGTTGCTGCTATTGACTGGGCCTTGCGACTCTGGGTCTGTGACCGACATCTTTCTCCACGCTTCACCGGTAGCCTCTTGTTTCAATCTGCCTTGCGTAGACCGCCGCAGACACAGACTGGAAGTTGCAAGGTCCTTCAAATAGAGAAACAAACACCTTACCTTCTCAAATCCCAGCTCTGTCATGGCACCAACAAGCTTTGTCAGCACAGGAACGGCAAGAAGGGACCAGAATACAAAATATGTTTTTCCAAAATTGCTGGTTGGGTATAGATCTCCGTAGCCGATGGTTGTAAGTGACGTGTATGTGAAGTAGAGAGATTCAAAATATGTCCAATTTTGGCTTCTCTCGGAGCGCCCAAAAATAGCAGCACTCACTAGCCAGAGAAAGAACCATGCTGTCACCGAGAGAATCAAAGTCATCCATCGCCGTCTTCTGTAGAAGTCGCGCTTGATACGTTGCGCTTTCCACAAGTCAGCCTTGTTTGGATACCAAGGATTGGCTGGTAATTGTAGTAGTGGACTTTCTCTATCGTTGCGGCTGTCGACCGGAGAATCATTGATAGTTTGGCGCCGGTGCAAGCCACTGTGCACTCTTTCCATCTTGATTTTGATGCGTAGTTCTCTCATATTATCTGTGAACGATGTTATCGAGCTGATGACCAGACCTATAGTCATGATCCCCGCAGAGGCGTATGGATATAATAGGCTTCGTCCAAGGTGAGTGTTCGGGACAATGTTTCCGATTCCAACCGTCAGGAGAGTATAGTCAGCCCAGTACAATGCATCCATGAAACTCCAACCTTCAACGGTCGAGTAGACAGCAGCGCCCCCAATCAGAAAGGCACCAAAAGCAGTCGCCCGCAGGATGATGCTTGTATTTTCACATACCCGTCTTTCCTCAGGAGTTAGATGAATAGAGTGCATATTGCCTGCATATATTCCCAAGAGCACGGCTATTAGAATGTATAGGCCCGCAGCAAATATCCCATAGAAGAAATTTTGCGTATACTGTAGCGTCGTCTGAGCGGCGAAATTTGGGTGTTCTCCAGGTATAATGCCGATGATAACAAACAGGATCGCAGCCGAGACACACCAGCAAAGTACTGTTATGATAAACCCCTTGACTGGATCGCGTTTGGACATCATAGTAAACAGAAGTACGATGTAGGCAACCACAGCCGAAGCCAATGACACAGCCTTGAGCGCGACAGCCCTTGGTGTCAAAACATAGTCAATTGGAGGCAAAATAAAAGAGTGCACAGTGCAGAACGTACCAAGCCGGCTGATCTATAATGGTTGCACTTCCGTCGGGGTCTATTATCTCTCGCCAACCCTGGGATACGGCGCAAATATTGAAAATTATAGCCATTACACATAGAACTCCCTAGATGCCACACGGTCAGCTTAACATCTAAACCGGGGGCGTTGGGATAAGTACCGCAATAACGGGGTAGCCTGCCGGGGCAAGGTGCCAGCTTGAGACCATTCTGTCGGTAGAAAACAAGTTTTGCGGATTTTGAAGGAAATTTTCTGCTCAATTATCATATATTGTGCTGGCCGATCGTGATCTCCAACTTTACATATTCGATGGTGGTCAGCGAGTGATTCCGTCGCATAGCTTCTGTCGAGAATTAATCGTATAGGTAACCCTCTAGTTTTATTATTGCGAGAGCTGTTAACCACAGTACACAGCAGCCGACGGGGGTTAGTTCAGTGTCAGCTTAGTGGCGATGATCGTCTGGGAGGTTTGAAAAGTCAAATCTACCTTGCGCTAATGAATCCGGCCGAATACTGGATCTAAATACTTAAGTTCTGATTATTGGTTTAGCGGAGAGAAACGGTCACACCACTGACATTAGGAAGCTTCTCAGTGCCTACGATCCAGGGTTAAAGTAGCAGGAAGCCAATGATCTTTCCAAACTATAATGCATGAACGCGAGTACCGTAACCCTCCACTTTCCGCCTCTCGTCTTTGGGATGGCCCGAATAAAACCATGTATTGTCAGGACGCAGCTTATCCTCCCCCGTTAGCGCATCGGCCGTCGCGGATCCGAGCGTGCGGATGGGCCAGAGACCGCAAATCCAGTGACTGATCGATTCCAACAGGACAGTATGCCTACATGGAAGAGTGATCCAAAACAAACCTACTATTATTAAGTACCGGAATTAATTCTTGTTAGCTCGTTTTTAGAAAATGTGTAAAAAGAGCGTGGTATATGAAGAAGAGGCTCGGAAGACGATGCGTGTCGGGGCAAGCTGCGACAATGTAGACTAGTAATTCTATACAAATGAGATCGAGGTTGAGACCAAGCGAACCAACCTTGGATGAGAAGTTTGATTGATTGATTGAAGAAAGAACGAATTTCATGAGCCAGATTGAAATGCCCCATACTTGGCGCTGGTACTCCGTGCATAGATAGGGCCCCGTTCAGATTATCTGTACGGTAACGCCACCCATCCCCCTCTTCTTTCCCTTCCTCCCTCCTCCTTCTGCCAGAAAATAAAAAACCATTAACTAGTAGAGTAGTAGTAAAGAAGCTCGAGGCAGCGTGGAGAATTTTCTGCAGAACATCCTAAATATCATATTCCTTGATTCTTGAATAGGGCCCTACTACTACAATCCACTATTGTTGTTATTATTATTATGATGAAGATGACGATGATGACGATGATGACGATGATGATGAAGGCGGAGGGCGCAAGGAATGTGTGTAACATACTGTTATAGGCCGGTAAAGACCCGTACGACCGTATCGCTGGCGTTACCGCCAAGATTGCGCGGGCCCAATCTGAGGTCAGCTATCCTGCGAAAGTTGGGGTCAGACGGGCGGTTGCGGCCAGATACATGCGATATCGTATGGTTACGTAACATTTCGCGAATTTTCGTGGGCGTTGATACACGGTGTTACGACAACCGCGAGGCCAAGGATACCAAATTACTACACAAAACACAGAGGAAAGTGGGAACGTCAAATCAAAGATAAGGCAGATTGTCCAAATAAACAACATTCACTATGTACATCCTGCTTGTAAAGGGAAGGATCGTCACATCAGTGGCCAGTTTACGACGCCAACTTTTTGTCGGTGAGGAACAAGTTGTATAGGGATCGAGCTAGTGTGTCGCGTTTGATTGAAAGCACAGCCAGAAACATAACGAAGAAAAAGAGCCTGGCTGTGAAGTGTGCCGAAAAACGGTTCCAGTCCCAGGGACTGAGGCCTCTTCATGCAGAATGCTCTGACACAAAGAGGCCATTGAAGTGCCCTATGTTATGGGCAAAAGAGACAAACAGACTGAATTGTGATTTCGTTTTCAAAAATGGTGTTAAATGGCTCATTGATCACGATTTGGGTAGAAAGCATTACGACGAGGCTGCTCCTATCGTGGAGGCACAAATACTCAAAGCAGGAATTCGTCTGGCCGTGCGGTTGAATGCTTTAGGCGGCTGACAGAGCTTCATCAGGGGAGCGTTGTGATTATCGAATTACAAAGGTGACAAGTAGTCTCCGTTCCTGACCATGGCCATCTTTGAAAGTACGACTTCTAGGTTTAATCTAGTTACAGATGAGAATACAAGAGCTATAGTATAATCGAATAATCGAAATACGGTAAGGAAAGTGGAATGGTAATATCAATACGACAGCTTTAAAGTGCGGTATGATTCGATCTTATCTGATAGGTTAGCGTATTTACTATCTTATTGTTCTTCATGCAGTAGGATATTCTGTCTTATCTTGATAAGATTGGTTTTATCTACCCGCTCTTCAAATATCACAAAATTCTCCTAAAGTAATCACTATCCGAGGATTTTATCAAGGAAGCGACGTATAGAACGTACGAGAGAAATAGTAGATAGCATCCAGTTGAACTCCGAAGAGATAACTGCAGCAGCTTCAGTCGTCCTGAACAATATTGTACGCCACTGTCTTGCTGCTTCAGCCAATTGTATGGTAAATTGGTACCGCATTGATTTTTTCAAATTCTTCCATTCACAGGTCCCATTTATTTTGACCGTCAATTATTTCATACCTATAGTCCAATGCTAGGGTAAGTTTTGAGAGGCTAGGTACGGCATTTCCTACTCAGCGGGCTGAATATTTTACACTATTCGGGTTGCAAGAGCATTCAAAGGACACGCTCCAGACGCATTTCTGGGCCCGTTTACCTATCTTCTTCGGGATTCCTGGTTACTCATATGACATGCCGGGTTACGATTATGTATTCCCCTCTCGCGGCGGCTACAGCGGCAATGCGATCCATCTGTTCCAGCACCATAGCATCATTCTCTGATAGCATCATTGAAGCTTTGGAAATTGCCAATATTGCGAGTCCGTGAGTGATGTGTTTGTCCTCGTTATTGACAATAAGTATTGAACGTCAGTCAGTTGCTGAGGTTGTTAGTATTATTTTTCGTCAAGTCGTTTCCAGCATATTTGGAGGGCTACCTGTTCTCACTCCCATTCTCAGGACACGCATAAGTTTCAACCTACACTCGGTCCGATTTGGAGGGCGATGAATCCTGCCTTTAGAGTGTGGGAGTGTGGGTATAAGTCGAGGAACACCAAGAAAATTTAGTATTTACGGATAATCCTCGTTTCGACAATAAAGATCAAGAAGCATATTAAGCCTTATTATGACGCAAATAAGGTCTTGGATTGATCTTATTACTCGACTTATTAGGAACAATTTTGATAGCCATATATTCGACAGTATAACAAACGAAAGCTCGGTTTCAAAGTAAACATTTAGGCGGAGACATCCAAAGTAAAGATAGTTCTCTTGGCTTGATTCAGTGTTTGAGTCAGGTCAACCATTTGAATCAAGCTCTGACTTCACAAATGGCCGGATATGCCAATAGTCCACGAGGAGTAGTCTCCTTTTCCAATTATATTGACCGACGCTCGTGACGGAAACTCATATTATTGCTAGTGAAAGGCCTGCCGGGCCCTTGATCTTAAGGAGCTAAGCGCTGTTTACGACAGAGTTTAATTCGATCGAGAAGGAATTCTTGAGAACCTTTCAAAGGATTTAGGGGAAAGCGCGCCTCCTCTTGTAGCTACATACTCTCTAATTAGAATACAACGTCTTTATTTATCATGATTCAGGAAGACAGGAATCTCTTTCGAAAAAGAGTTTGAATGACCTCTAGAAAGACTTTTCAAGAGAGAGGCTTTTGGAGGCTGTCTTAGCATAACCTTTTGTCCAAAGGCTGGGCCTGGGACTTTGATAGCTACCTGCTGTATGCGTGAATTTGTGGCTTACAGAATTAGACGTCTAATAAATTTCGAGATGATTTATTTGTGGTGCGGATAGCGAGATCCTGGAAACACCGTATGCCAATTGATTACCTCCACATTCAAAGAGACAGGAAGCTTTAAAATCAAAGGCGGATTAATTCACTGAGACAACCGTCACTTTCAGTAATGACTCGCATGTCAATGGCATGCAATATGGAGTATAAATTTTGGCAATTGTTTGTCGCTCTTTGGACACGGGCGAAAATACATCTCGTGGCAGCGCACTGGTTCAACTCCCCCAAGTTTTGCGCCAGCGCTAAAGGCAAACGGATCGTCGAACGTAGAAGCGACATGGATAAATATTGAGGTAGTTACTTCTGTCGTTCTATTTATAGATAGATATGCCCCTCAAACGAAAATCTAGATTTTAAATAAGTCCAGTTATAGACCACAGCTAGCTACGCGGGTGGAACCAAAAATTGGCAAAAAGAATGACCAGACTGGGGCTCGATCCCAGGACCTTATCGGTGTTAACGATACGTGATAACCAACTACACCATCCGGCCAATTACATTTGATTGGCTCATTTATTAGATAATGATTTTGAAATATTAAGTCTCAAGGGAACGCAGGAAAATACGGCCAGACTTATACCTCTACATAAATATTGTAACAGATTCCTCTCACACCATTGGCTTCAGGTCTGCGATCATCTGTAATCGCTTCAATATTTTTCCTTCTCAAGGAAGAGAATCAATTTCATTGGTTTCATTCAACGTTTGCGACGCAGAAGGAGTACCTGCTGTTAGCAGCCTGCCCCCAAGTAAGTCAGCCGTGGGGTATAACTTAACGGCCTGGGTGTATTTCTCTGTGATATAATCCGATAGATTATTCAATTCCGTTATTCTAAGATCCTTGCATTGTCTGTCAGGTTTATTAGCATTTGAAAATCCAAACCTAGATAGTGATATATTCACTTATATTATACTAGAGATTTTCTTGTCAGCGAGAACAACTACTCCATAAGATGACCGGCCGATAGTAACAGTTGGGAATAGGGTAGTAAACAGATATAGTAGTGTGTAGCGTTGGTATATACCCCGTGACTCGCTTGGTTGAATCTTTTGGATAGATCAGAGAGAGCATTAGGTGAGAGGTATGTGTAAATGCTGTCCTAGCAATATAAACAGTCCTGAGGCGTAGATGTAAGAAGTGGGCTTAAGGGTTTTTATTGGCTTGAAAGAAGCCCCTTTCTTGAGACAGTTTCTCCGTGCAAAACATGGAAGCCAATTTCGAAATTGCTATACTGCGGAGGAGTAGATTTGGGAGTCTCCGAAAGTCGCTGGTAAATTAAGTATATTCGACGTATTGTCACGCAATACAGCACTGTGACGAATGATCCAGATTGTGGTGGGAGTTTCCGTCAACGTTGCATCCAGTTTATTTAAGTACTAGGGATTCTCCATCCTCCTCAACCTCTCCATTCCCACCCATCAGAGAAATACCTTG